CTGCCCTCACCCCTCCACCAGAGCTGAGTACATACCTCCCTCCCCGGCCCCCTGAGATTCGTATGGGGCACAGAAGGCAGGGGGTCACCCCCACCCTATTCTGTTCTCTTCTCCCAGCCTCCCAGCGTGTGCCTGGAATCTTGCTGGGAAGAGGGAGCTCCCCCTCCACTCCCCACCCCATAGCCTGAGCCTTCCAACTGTCAAGTTTGAAAAGAAGCCACCGTGCCTCCAGGGCCTCCTGCACCGCAGAGAGGGGCTCTCTGCTCTGGGAGGCTGCTCAGCGCCTCTCCCACAGCCTGCACTCTCCTTTCCCTTAAATGGGCACAGCCAGGGTGGCTGGCACGGGACTGGCACTCTGTACCTCCACTCCGTCACCAGGGACAGCCCCGAGGGGGTGAGGAAAGGGGCCTTGCTCTGCAATTCCCAGAGCCAGATCTTCCTCATCCAAGCAATAACGGAACGAGGGAGCCAGGGCCAAGGACACTCAGGGACACTGTTGGGGCCGGAGCCCCACATGGTAATGTTTTCTTTAGGGAGAAGAAAAAACAACTGGCTGTAAACATAAATTATATTTCTTGGAGAAAGAATGTGCATTTCCCATGTGCCTGTTTATTTATAATCCCTGGGAGCACCGGAACCCACTGCTGTGGGGACCCTGGACTCCCTCTGGCACTGCCCCCACCCCACGTACCTCCCGTTCCATGTCAGACTGACCCTGCCAGCTGTTGTGTGCTGTCTGGGGAACAAGTACTGTCGTCAGCAGTGGCGTTTGCCCCTCGAGGCTGCTGTCCTGTCTTGCGGAATCTCACTGCTTAATTCTGCAGAAGATTTTGTATGTTTTTGAATCACCCTCAAGCTGGGCAGATCGTTCTCTATTCTTTCACTGGCGCTGCCCCTCCACCCCCTCCATGACTCCATCTCTCTCGCTCTGTTTTCCTCTTTCTGTCTCTCTCCTTCTTAGTCTCTTTTTGCTCTGTTTTGGCATTTCTTTCTCCCCTTGTTCAGGAAAAGAATAACGATTTAAAGAAAGGAAGAAAGTTGTAAAACCCCAAGCCTGGAGGCCCATCTCATGGGAGAAGATCCTGCCAGGCCTTCATCACCATGGCAACAGGGGCATACCAGGCCAAAAGGTCAGGCCCTGCCCAGAAGCTCTGTGGGCACACGGGGTTGGGCCCTGGCTAAGGAGGAGGCTGGGCATGGATCTGGGGCAGTCAGCTTGCAAATGAGAGTGAAGGCCTTGAATGGACAGAAAGAGGAAGTGGGTGGGGAAGATCGGAGGCTGCCTCCTTCCCGAGGAGGAAGCGGGTCTGGGGCCTGGCTGCTGCAGACCTTGTCCCTCCCATAGCTCCCCCTGTTGGGGTTCCGTCAGGGCCAGTGGGCCTTCCAGGGTCTGGAAACTTGGAGAAAGTAATTTGATGATCACTCAGGTGGGGTAGGAGCTGCAGCTGACTGGGGACTGTCCTCTTGACCTGCCACTTGTATCGCAGCATAGGGAAAATACCCTTGGGCCTGGAATCAGAAGAGGGGTTCCAGGCCTAGTTCTGCTGTTGACCAAGTGATCTTGAGCAAGTCACGACCCCCCTGGGCCTTAGCTTCTTCATCTGTACATGAGGAGTTGGGCTTATTTATTTACTTTTATTTTATTTTTTTCCAAGATGGAGTCTCCCTCTGTTGCCCAGGCTGGAGTGCAGCAGCACAATCTTGGCTCACTGCAACCTCTGTCTCCCACATTCAAGCGGTTCTCCTGCCTCAGTCTCCTGAGTAGCTGGGATTAGAGGTGCACACCACCGCGCCCGGCTGATTTTTGTATTTTTAATAGAGACGGGGTTTCACCATGTTGGCCAGGCTAGTCTCGAACTCCTGACCTCATGTGATCTGCCTGCCTCGGCCTCCCAAAGTGCTGGAATTACAGGCGTGAACCACTGCACCTGGCCCAAGGAATTGGGTTTATTTAGATCTGATGCTGCAGCTCAATACTTGATGCAAGGGGTTTGTCTACCTTCCTTTATGCAAACCTTAGACACAGGAGCAGGAGGGTGCAGAGGCAGCCATGGTCACTTGCAGTAACTGCTGTCATTAGTGAGCTCAGGTCTCCTCCCTCTGTCTGGTCTGTTTCCCTGTACTTCATCCCTGCTGCTCTCACCTGAGGACTCTAGGTTGGGGCAAAGTCATGGCAACGAGTCCCCCTGGGACATCCTGAGGCACTCAGGGCCCTACCCTTTTGCTTTGTCAAACGTGGCACCCGCAGCCGTGACTACTCGCCAGCTGAGCAGGAGCTCCCCCGAGGAATGGGAATGGGCTCTGTCCCGGGCTCTGCTACTCACTTGCTCTACACCCTCAGAAGCCAGTCCCTTCTGGAAAGTTTGAATGTGGTTAAATTGGGTACTGATGCCATAGAGCATGACTGAGGGTTTCTGTCTCCATGTGAGTAGGGAGGGAGCTACTGCCAGGGACAGCTGGGTGTCACAGCTCCCCTTGGTGATAGAGAGAGCACTGTATTAGGAGTCCTAGCATTCCCCCACCCACAACTTCCTGTGATTCCCACTTGGCCTCCGGGGAGCAGGGGGCAGGGGAGACTGGAAGGGACGCTTTAACAATGGGATGGGATGGGTGGGCTGCCTCTGCGGTTCCCCACATCGTTCCGGGGCAGTCAGAAGTGGGCAGGCCATGGGGGAATAGGGTAGGGAAATTCCGCAAGAGTCATGTTTGTACCAGGGATTCAGGGGCAGAGGCCAAGGGAGCTGGCGGTCAGAGCAAGAAGCTTCCTTCCTGCTGTGGGAACCAAGTGGAGGGAAAGGCAGAGGAGGCGGCAGGGCAAGAAACAGGGTGGGGAGGGCGAGTGACTCACCCATAAGCCGTGTGAGGACTCCCAACCCAGTGCTCACAGAAGAGCTGCGTAGTCCCTGGCTGGCAGTCAGGTCTGTGAGTGGAATGGCTGAGAACTGCACCTGTTCTTGAGGCCCCCGCCCCCACCAGCCTCCAGGCAAGCACCCCTGCTGGCCGGTGTGGCAGCGGAGACCCAGGGCTGAGCTTTTTCCAGCCTCGTGAATGCCATTCCTCACCCCCTTCCCACCCACCCTCATGGGACTCAGGAAAGGGGGAGAACAGGTTCTTGGAGCTGGGGGCCCTGCCCAGAAGTCCCTCCCTGCCTCCAGTGCCACCACACAGGCTCACTCAGCCATCTGTCCCAAAGCTTCCTCAAGACACCTGGCGCTCTTGTTCTGAAGATGACCATTTATTAGCACACCCGGGCGTGCCACAGGGAACACGTATGCAGACAGGGATCCCTGCCCAGGGGGCTCACAATCTAAACAAGACACGACACACACACACAGGACACAGACACGGGGAGCGGGGCGTCTTCACGGGAAACAGATGGTCAGGGAAGCCACGAGCGGGGGCATCGGCGTGCTCAAGCCTTGTCTTTCTGGTTGTCTTTGCGGGGGAGGGAGAGGAGCGCAGGACATAACCCAGGATGGCCTTCCAGAAAGTAGCAGTATCCGGGGGCGGGGGGACTCACAGGAGAAAGAAAACACCAGAGGGCGGTGGTCCCAGGTACAGGGAGAGGTGGGGGAGCATCTCAGATCAGGCGTGGATGAAGACAGACCCAGAGAAGTAAACACAGAGGAAGGGAAAAAGTCCAGGGAAGGGCCCGAGCCAGCAGCAAGAGACTGCCACCTGTGCTGGGCCTGGCTGTCTCTGACTTCAGGCTCCGTTTTCCGGGGCTGCTCTCACAGAGAAAGCCTGAACAGAAGCTCTGGCCAAGGGCGCCCCTGAGGCTACTTACCTGACCCCAGGGCTTCCTCCGATCTCTGGAAGGGCTATCTAAACCAGGTTGTGGGGAAACAAGAGACAGACAGCTTTGGGTGGGGTACTTAGTGCAGTTCCAGGAGGCAGCTGCTGGCCCCAGGTGCTGGGAGCAGGGGGCGGATGGGATGGCCCGCTTCACTCCTGGCAGGGCCAGGGGCCAGCAGGTGGACACATGACAACGGGGATGTGCTCGTTCCTTTTGTGCCTGTGTCTGAAACAGATGTAGCACCTTCCTTCTGAAGTACCCTGAGAGCTGTGGGGGCTCAGCTTCCCCTGGGCTGGGTGGGGAAGAAAGGGCAGGGGATGGGGATGGTTATTGCTTTGTCGTGGTCAGAAGAAACAGGTGGAAGGAAGAAAAGAGCTTGCCCAGGGCCACAGAGGCTGGAGAAGGGATTACAACCCAGCTTCCCACACCTCAGGCTGGAACCTGTTCTATTGAGTAGAAAAGACTTTTCTAAAAGAACGAAAGTAGAAGAGGGCTGAGAGAAGCCACAGTTCCAGCCAACAGACACAGAGCTCCTTATCTTTCCTTTTCCCACCTCAGGGACCAGGAAGGAGGCGCTGGCCTGAAACTACAGTGGCCCCGTGGGTGGTAGTGGGAAAACTGGAGCGTCCCCCTTTGGTTTGTCTGAGCTGCCTTGAAGGGTGGTGAGGGTCCTCTGGGAACTGAGGGAGGGGACGTCAGGCTGGGTGACCCTGGAGGGCACCTCTGAGGCCTAGAGGACTCTACTCCCAAAAAGCTTTGCGTCAGGCCTGATCTGGGAGATGTAGCTGCCTCTCTGCTTTCTGGGAAGCCGGTGGGATCATATTCTATAGAGATCTGAGGATGGGCTGGACGCTCAGGAAGGGCCTGGTCACCAGTGAAGTCAAATCCCAAAGGTGACACACTGAGGGGGAGGCTCAGCCCCGGGGCCCCCATCCCCTTCACCCCACTGCCTCTGCCCCTGGGGAGGTGAGGGAGGGCTGGGACCCAAGGAGGAAACAGCCAAGGCCCTACTTTTTCACGATCCTTTATTAATCAGAACAGGCCTTGCCACAAAAAGCAGGACCCATTCCCACAAAAATATGATTTTGCAAAGAGGAAATCTTGCTGGCTTAGAGGGTATGTGTGGTGGAAAAATTTTGTATGGTTCTTTTTTCCTGTTTTTTTTTTTTTTTTCTTCAGTTTTTCTTCATTTCTCTTCGCTGCAAAATTTTTTTTTTTTTTTTTTTTTTTTGGTGATGGTGGGTTTTTGTTTTATTTTTTATAAAACATTTGCACTCAAGGACATACAAACAGTGGCCACCGATCCCCACCCCTGGGGGACTCAGGGGAGGCCCCTGGCTTGTTTGTGGCTGTTTTCCTCTGTCCCTTCCCTGGCATCTGGTGCCGGAGGGCAGGCGTGGGGGTCCTGGGGCAGGTGGAATTTATACAGCAGTTTCGTGGGGAGATGGCCACAAGAAAGGAAACCAGGACAAGATAAGGACTAAGTCTAGGGCACCCACAAAGATGGCAGATGAGGCCCATGAAGGGGCCTGCGACACAGTGAAGAGACAGATGGGCCTGGGTTGGCCTCGGCTAGCTCTGGAGGCTCTGTGGGGGAGGGGCAGGTGGGCCTTGCTGTCAGGATTCGCTAATTACACTTTGCTCACGGGTAGCACCTTCTCTCTTGACCCTCAGGTCAGGTGATGGTGGCCTCACAACCTCCCCTGTGAGGTAGGTGAAGTATTATTACCATCATATTACAGATGGGGAAACTGAGGCCCAGGGAGTGCGGGTGACTTGCCCAAAGTCCTGGGATGGTGACAGGGCTCCAAGTGCCCTCCCCCCACCCTCAAGTTCCCCCATTCCCTGCTCTCCTATCACCCTAGACCACCCCTGCCCCATCCCATACCACCCTTGCCTCCCGTGCTAGCCTACTCAGCCCTTGGCCCACCGCTTGCCGCCCCGACATAGCATCCCAGAGCTCCACCTGCACGTGGGGGGGCTGGGGAAGCCCAAGCCTGGTCGCCAATGTGCCTGGATGGGGTCTGGTTGGGAAAAGACCCCTGCCAGGAGATGCTCTCTGCATAGGATTGGCTAAGAGCTCCATGGGCGGGGCTCGGGAAAAGGTGAAGCCATTGCCCCGCCCACTCGATACAAGTTGGTTGGATTCCCAGGGGCCTCCCTAGCAGGCGAAGGGGCCTGGGAGGCGGGGGCTCGCTCACTGGGCAGTCTTCCGCGGGGCAGGCGGGTGGTGGTGGGGGAACAGGAAACCGAGGCGGATCCAAGGGAGGGGTGGAGAAGGGCAGATCCCCTCCTCCACTCAAAACTTCCCACCACGCCCTCTCCCACATCCACGTGGCCTCGGGGTCGCTGCCCTCCCGTCCCTGCTGGGGGCCGCTCCCCAGCCCGCCAAAGAGGAGGGTGCAGTTGGGGCCGACCCCATTTTAAGCAAAGCTACAATATAGGAACATTTGGATTTACAAGGAACGTGGGTGACTATTTGCTTTACATTAGCATTCTTCACTCTACAAAACGATTCACCTACTATGTATGATGTTCTTCCAGATCCCAGGGAGAGGAAATGGTGGGGGTGTGAGATTCAATTTAAGAAAATTTCGCTATGGGCAAAAGGCGACCCATCTACTGCAGCAAGCAGAATGCTCAGCTCAAGGGGAAGCCGACCAAAGGAAAATGGTTCCCAAATGCCTATGCTCTCCCCACGCCCTGGATGTGGGGACCCTATCCAGAGTCCCCTTCTTCTCTTTGGGGTGTCACAGGCCCATCCAGGGTGGAACTGTGGGCTGACCAAGCCACAGACTGTGGGGGCTTGACGCCACCTGGCGGTGGTTCTTGGGAATGTCAGGCCCAGGCTCATGGACCCCCAGGTTTGGAGGCTTTGTCACCAGCTGGGTCTTTTATCAATACCAGGACCAGCGTGGGGATGAGAGGGCTTAAGCAGGGATCAGCCTGAAATCTGCCATCTCCAGGGGGAAGCCAGTTCTAGTCTCATCAGTGGCTGAGGCAGAGAAACCACGGCTTCTTTGTGTGTGGCAACCTCAGAACTCTCAGAACCTTCGTCTTCTCCCTGCCTCCTTTCCCTGCACTGAGTGAGCCAGGCAGAAGGAGCTGCTCCCGGGGACCAGGGAGTGGGGAGGGTGGGAAGACAGTCCTGGAGAAGATCAGGTGATGGAAGATCAGAGACTACACACGATGAGAGGGAATGAATGGAAGGCCTACAAGCATCGGGGGATGGAGGGGTGAGGAAAGAAGGGTGGGGGTCTGCACAGGCAGGGAGAGACGAGGAAGGGCAGGGAAGCTGGAAAGCATGGAGAATAGGGCAGATGTGGCTGCGTATGAGGTGTGGGAAGCTGGCGGGGGGTCTTTTGATGAAGGAGTTAGGGCAAAGCTAGTCAGGGCTCAGGACCCCTTGAGAAGGAAGGGAGATGAGTCCTGGTGGAATGCTATGCACACAGTAGGTGCCTAAAAGGTGTGAGTCAGTGTTCAAGAGATGAAATTGCTGAAAAAGGAGCTATTTCAGATTCTGAGCAGAAGGGGGCACCAAGGGGAGAAGGGGAGGAGATGGGGGGATGGCAGGAGGCAGCCCAGCTCTCAGCCCAGCTCCAGCATCTGCCGCTCTTCTGTTCCTGACCTCTGCCTCACCCTACCCCACTCAGCCCTACGGGCCTCTCCTCTCACACTCCTGGCCTCCACCCCTGCCTGGCCTTCACGAAACCTGCCTTCTCCGCATAGTCCTCCGCACTTCCAGGCCTCTGTCCCCACGCACACACACAATGGACACAACACAAGTACAAAGGGCCGCGGCTCCAGGACCCAGGAGCGGGCTAGATACTGTCTTCGGCATTCAGGGCCCAGCTGGCACCTGAAACTGCCCTGGGGACGGGCCTCTCCTGGCCAGACTGGGGCCAAACGCCTCAGCCTCCCCTCCCCTGGGTCCACCTCGGGGGCTGGACAGGGAGTGGCCTCTCTCCACTCCAGGTGCTGCCTTAAAGAAAACGGGGGACCATGCCCACCTGGCGGGCCTCTGGAGGGGTCTGCCTGTCTGGCCGTCTGGCTCTCGAGGTCCCCCAACTTCTTTAGTATTAGTAAGTCAGGAAGAAAAGGGGCAAAGCAGGAAAATGCCTCCCAGAGCCCCTTCCCCCAAGCTGGACCGTGGGGGACGGGGCTGGTACTTCCTAGACACGGGGCCCAGTTGAGTCCTGGGACCCCTCCCTGGCTGAGCCCTCAGGGTCCTCCCCTCCCTATGGCAGGGGGCTCAGGCTGGGCGTTGTGCATAAAGTGGTGAGGGCATGATGGGGACCCGGGCCCTCGGCCCCCTGGGCCTCCCTTGGCCCCACTCAGGCCTTCAGCTGGTGCCACTGGGCCACGGGCTGCCGGGGACGGGCAATCATGTCCTTCCAGTGCTTCACCTCCCCTGGCCCGCTCTTCCAGGACAGGTAGATCTGGGGAGAAAGGGGAGAGGATGGCATTGGCACAGGCTCCAGGGCACTGGCCCTTTCCCCCACAGGGGTGACACCCCAACTCCACCATGATGCCCTAGCCTGTGGCCCCCCAACCTCCACATGCTGTGACAACCTACTCCACAGAGGCGCCCTCCTCCCTCCCCGGCCAGCCTGGTCTATTTTCCTGGTTGTCTACCCCCACACCTCCAAGTCTGGGCACGCCTGACCTCTTGGAATTAGACTGCCAGCCTACTTTGCGGTGGGGTCTGGATGGTGGGGGTGGAGGCAGATCGTCTCCACGGCCTTCCCTGCCCTATCTGTTGGGTGCTGTCCAGCCCCCGTTAATTATAATTGTTCCCAGCTCCTGGGCGCTCACTGCATGTGAGTACTGAGCTAGGGACTTATACACTAGCTATACACAGCGATCATCCAATCCTACAACGGCGAGGTAGGGTTATACGATCATCTCCATTTTTCAGATGGGGAAACTAAGGTACGAAGAGGTAAGATACTTACCCACAGTCACAGTGTTTATAAGTGGCGCAGAGGGACTGAAATCCAGGTCTTTGGAGCTCTACGCTACCGGCCTAATCCTGCTTCACAGCCTCACGGGGCTGCATGCATGAATTCCCCCGGAACCCCCAGGATGGGCCCCGCTGACCTCAGCTTTGGGACTTGGGGGTGAATAAGAGTATGAGCATTGCCCCCATTGCAACCTCAGCCCAGCATGATACCTACAGCCTTGGATGATGCCAGGCAGACAAGGGGCAGACTCTTGGCTTCCAGGGGCTGAGCAGGAGCCGGGAGTCAGAAGGATTCAGAGATCCTTGGGCTCCATAAGTTACCCAGGCCAAAGTGAGAACAAATCCACGTTTGCTTTGGTTCAGCCAACAGAAGGTAGGACTGTTTCAAAAGGAGCCCTAATCGGTATCTAAGGGACACCCAACTCCAAAAGGCTAAGCTTCAAAAGAACATCAAAGTAGATATGGTCACTTGGCCTTTGGGCTGAGCTGGTCAAAGGGGCATCGGCGGGACCTGAACCCTGGCCAGGCAGGGGCGCATACTCTCTCTGGAGTATGAGTGGCAATGTCCTGGGGAGTTGTCCCACCTGTGACCACAGATTGGCCAGTCATACTCCCCGTGCCATACCCGATGGCAGGCAGGGCTAGCTCTCCTCTTTCAGGCCAGATTGCCTCCTTCACCCCAGCAGGTGAGTTCTCCATTCCCATCTGTCTGAGGGTTGCCTCCAACTCAGCTCCCTTCCCTGTGGGTATCCAGTCCCCCTTTCCCTTTCCCCTACACAGGGTAATGCCCAGGTGTGTGCCCCTCACTCACTCCTGGCATCTCCCCTTCTCCCATGACTGCCCTAAGCACTGGTTCCTCACATGGTCCTGGTCAAACCGCCCTGCCTGAATGGATATACATGCCCCTTTATTATCATACTAGCTAACATGCGTTCCAAGTCCTGTGCTGTTTAGTGAGCTGTTTAGCTCACCTGTGCGATCTTACTTAATCCTCCCAGCGCATTGTGAGGGTAGGACCGTCCTACTCTCGTTTTGAGAGGAGAAAATGAGGCTCAGAGAGGTTACAGCCTTAAAAAGTAAGGCTAGGATTTGGACCAAGGCTCTCTGACTCTCAAGCCCATTCTCTCAACACTAAACCATAAATAAACACAGAAAGAGACATTTTAAGGTAGAAACATGGAAGGGCTTATGTCACAGAATCCCATCCTGGGAAAACTCAAGGTCAGGTATGAATTTTTTGGTTATGTGATATGAAGAGATCACTTTTGTTTTTTTTTTTCCAGGCAGAGTTTTGCTCTGTTGCCCAGGCTAGAGTACAGTCTTGCAATCTTGGCTCACTGTAACCTCTGCAGTTCAAGGGATTCTCCTATCACAGCCTCCTGAGTAGCTGGGATTACAGGCACCTGCCACCATGCCCAGCTAATTTTTGTATTTCTAGTAGAGATGGGGTTTCACCATGTTGGTCAGGCTGGGCTTGAACTCCCGACCTCAGGTGATCCACCCGCCTCGGCCTCCCAAAGTGCTGGGATTACAGGCGTGAGCCACTGTGCCCGGCCAACTTTCTACGAGAAGAACATCCACATGCCTCAAGCAATTCTTACACCACCCTGTAAAGTTCTACAGGGACAGTACTAGTTGCTCCATTTTACAGATGAGAACACTAAAGCTTGGAGGGGCTAAGCCACTGGCCCAAAGTTATACGGTTTATCTGAAGATGGGATGGGAACTGAAACGAGGTCTTTGGAGTCTGATCGCAGCTCCCAACGCTGCCCCACGCAGCTCACCCTGTGTAGACAGGACCCCGGGCAATACTGCCCCAATGTCATCATCCTGTCCAGAAAACCTTTCTTTTGAGATCCAGGATCCAGGCCATTCCTCTCTTGCACTACTTCTTTCCCTGCCCGCTGGTGGTCTGTCCTAAGCTGACCTACCCATAGGAGGACGCTTAGAGAGGAATCCTTGCGAGGGGGTCATCTCACACCCTTATTTTCAGATGAAGAAACAGAGGCCTGAGAGGGGAGGAGACTGATCCCAGTCTCTCCTGGTGTCCAGCCTGTGCCCACTACCCCCACTGCTTCTTTTAAGGAACGGAGCCTCGCTGGTACCAGCTGCGTGCACCACACCACCTGCCTCGCCCCTACCTTGCCGATGACGTCATTGCGGCTGAGCCTGTCCTTGTCCATGACGGTGATAATGATGGTCGTCTCCCTCAGCTTCTCCGTGGGGATATCGAAGGCGAAGGACTCATTGAAGATGGGGTTCAGGTTCCTCTTCATCGTCACCGTCTTCTTCTTCTCCACCCGCTTGTCCTTGTACATCAGCCACACCTTCACGTAGGGGTCTGGGGGAGGGAGTGGGGAAGGGTTAGAGGGACCATGGGGGAGGGACTTCCTAGGATCCCTTTCCCCTTCCAGGAATGGAAGCTGAGGCAGGAGGGCCGTGTGCTTTCCCCAGAGGCAAGGAGAGACCCAGGCAAGAACAAGAGGGACCTGGGAGAATCAGCAGATGGACCTTAGCGATCACCTGGGCCCTCCTGTTACTACCAATGAGGAAACTGAGCCCCAGAGAGGCCAGGTCTTGTCCAAAATCTCAGACAAGTAGCATCAGAGCTGGGGATAGAACCCAGGTCTTCCCACAATGTTCCCTTTCTTCCTGATTCTGGGAAGAACAGAGTCCAGGATGATGCTGACATCTTGACTCTTGAACAGAGTCCAAGATGAGGGTGCTCCAAAGGGGGCCCCCAAGGCCTCTAGGGTAAGGAGTGAGGACTGGAGGTGGGGGTGTGGCGGGTTGGGGTGAGGACCGCTGCAGACCCTGCTCTCCACATCCAGTGTAACCCTTGTGTCACCAGCACATCCCCGGCCCGCCCGTCCTCTGCTGGAGGAGCCCCGCACCTGATGTACCCCCGATGTCCATGGCTTTGAGGTTCCGGGCTTTGATGATGTTCACGATGATGGAGTTGGCAGAGGGGTTGTAGCAGAGAGACAAGAGCAGCTCCCCTCGGCTCCCCTGGGAGGCACAACAGGAGGGGTGTGGGGAACTAGGCTAGCAGAGCTCTCTGATTGGTCCAGCTGCCCCCAGGCCCCCTCTACCCTGACCTTGGCGCTTACCCATGCCCCTGTCTGTCACCTCTGTCTCACTCTGTCTCCCCTCCTCTGGCAGGTGTGTGTACTGCCCCTCCCAGGTCCACCATCTCCCCTCTGTTCCCTGAACACAGCCCTAGGTTCCTTCTTACAGATCCGGTGAGTCCCCCCCAAGTGCCAAGCACCAGTGCTCTGACTACTAGTGAGGACTGAGCTCCATCGGGCCTGCCCATCTGCACCCTCTCCCACAGCCCTCCTGGCCTTTCTAAGGTTGACGAGGGTCTGGGACCAGATCTCCCAGCCCTGCCCTGCTGCCTGTCCAGTTAAGGCCCACCCATGGGGCCTTACACTCCCATCGCTGCATGGCTTCAGATCCTTCCAGAAGGTCTGCATCTGGGTCAGGTCCACCTTGTTAAGGGGGATGGACACCTCCCCGATGGGGTCGTTGCGGCTGAAGCGGTCGTAGTCCAGCACTTGGAGGTAGAGGATCCTCTGCACCACCTTCTCATAGGGAAAACCTGGTGGTATAGATGGGTGCGAGTGAAGAGGGGCACAGAGGGGCCACATGGGGCCCGGGAGGCAAGGAAGGCCCTGGGAAGAGGAGGCAGGCCCTGTGCCCTCCCGCTGCCACCCCACCGGGCCAGCAGGCACACTGGATTGCAATTAGACCTTACTGAAGTGCTAGCAAGAACTGTCACCGTCTCATGGGGTTCCCTCAACAATTCTCCAAGGTGAATGGCATCTCGTCCATCTTACAGATGAGGCTCAGACGGCTTAAAGTACTTGCCCAGAGTCCCAGCTAGTAAAGAGTAGAACTGCGATCATCCATTCACCTGTGCACCTTGTGTCCATCTCAGTGGCTGAGCAGCCGCTGCCAATCGTCCCGAGGCAGGTCTGGGCAAGTGGCTCTGCCTAGGTGGCCACAGCTGCCAGTACGCAAGCCCCAGGAGGACTCAGGGCAGAGGGACGTGGGGAAGCATCAGTGGGAGGGAAAAGGCAAAGGCATAGAAGCAGGAGGTGACAAGTGTCCTGTGACTCGGCATCCCTCCTCTCGCCTGTGCTTCTGTCCTTCTTCCCACAGTGTCCCCTTCTCTACTGTCACCTCCCTCGTCCAAGCCGCTGGCACCTCTTGCCTAGGCAGCTGCAAGCATCTCCAAACCGCCCTCCCCGCATCCACGCTTTCTCCTACCGTCCATTCTCTACGCGGCAGCCAGAGAGATCTTTTAAAAATAGAAATTCCATCATGATGTGCTCCTGCTTAAAGCCTTTCAATGGTTCCCAGTGCACTTAGAATAAAAGCCGGGCACCCTACCTTGGCTTCAAGTCCTTCCACAATTTGGCCCGGCTGTCCTCTCCCTGCTTGGCTTGTGACCGCTCTTCACTCAATGACTGGGCTCCAGCCACATCGGCCTCCTTCCTGGCCCTTCAACACCCCTACTCCTCCCGCCTCGGGGCTGGGCGCACACTGGCCCCACCATGCGCCCCCCTTCTGGCTACTCTCATCCTTCAAGTCTCAGTATTCCTTCCTGGCACCCCAGACAGTGTTGGATCCCGTTATACGCTCTAGCACCTTTTCTTCCGCGAAACATATCACACACGGTAATAGATTTCTCTGTCTCTTTCCCTGATTTTTGTCTGGCTTTCCCGGAAGGCAAGGATTCCCAGAAAGGCCTCTCTGTTACCAACCACTGGATCTCGGTGTCTAACACCGTTTCTGGCACATAGTAGGCACTCGATACATATTTGTTAAGTGAATGCATAATTGAACAGATGAATCAATGCCAATGAAATGGCCTGATGGAGCAGCAGGACTGTGCTGAGGTGAAGTGGCAGCTAAGGTCAGAGGGAGAGGAGCAGACGGGGCTTGCATGGGATGGAGAAGGGAAGAGGGGGCCAGGTGAAGGTCTGAAGCCAGGAGTCATGAGCTCTTGGGAGGCTTAGTCAGAGGTGGGGCTGGCCCAGGAGGTGCAGGGGGCACAGGCCAGCCCGGAGGTCTGAGGTGAGGAGATTCTGAACCCGGGTGTGAGCAGGACGGAGGATGCCTGGAACCTAAGCCTGGCTGGTGCAGAAGATGAAGGGAAGGAGGAGCCCCGGAGGATTCCAGCACCTTCCCCCAGAGACTCTGGAAGCACCGAGGAGCTCCGACAGGAGCAGGTGAGTGGGAAAAGGAGACGCTCTGAATTTGTTCAGGGTCCTTTTCCTCATATGGTGGGAAGCTGTGTCCTCTTTATTTCAGAGTCCCCCACGGACCTTGCCCAGGGGACCCCTGGCATCAATTCAGGTAAAATGCACGAGGACAAGTGTTCTGGGAATATTGGAAGCTCCAAGAAGTCGCTGCACCCCAGTCAGCTCTCATCAACACCAGAGGAGGCAGGCTCCTAGCTGGCAAACTCCTACTCATCCATCAGAACCCATTTGGAATGGTCCCTCTTCTGGGAAATTTTCTTCAGCACCATCAAAGGGAGCTCATACTGGCTTCCTGCAGCTCCTGTCATGCTGCGTGTGGCTGGCTTATCTACACATCTGTGTCTCCATTAGGCCAGAAATGCCTTGAGGGCCATAACGGTGCCTCATGCTTTTCTACACCCCCGGAACCTAGAAGAGTGCCCAGCTCGTGGTTGTTGCTGGGCACGTGCTTGTGGAAGAGATGGGAGGATTGGAGTTCTGCTCAGAACCTTCGCCCTGCCAGCTGGCTACCTATACCTCCAGACAGCTGAACCTCTCGCTGGCTGAGCCATCTCTAACCTGGCCCTCGTGGTGCCTGCAAAGGAGGGCATCCAGAAGCACACGGACACTCACTGCTCACCCTCAGTGCCATTTAGTGGGTGACCTGGCTGTCACCTTGCAGAAGAGGTGGGGTGCTAAGTGGGTGGGACGGCAGGTGGGGAAAGGTCCCTGGGATACACGGTGAAGATTCTGGAAGGCTAGGGCTTGGGGCAGCTGGAGTAGGGATCTACTCCCCCTGGATGAATGGGGAGCCATTGGCAAAGGGTTACAGCTTCTCTAAGCGGGGTCCTAGCACCCAAAGGCCCTGGGATAGAAATCACTGCTTAATCGCATGCCCAGCTTCCTGGTTACCTTGAATCCTCAGAGATAAGAGATAAAGACCGGCCTTCAGAGGGGGCTTGCAGGAGAGAGAAAGGACATTTGTCTCCGCGGCCTCCAGGCATGGTTCAGAGCTGTTGTTCCTGTCCCATGCGAGGGAGGGGGGCAGAGAACGGCAACAGATGGCGTGTGTTTAACAACCTGGTATCAAGCATTTGCTGGGTGTCAGGCACTGTTCTAAGTGCTTTTACAATTCACTTATTTGTTGAACCCTCACTATTATTATCTCTATTTTGTAGATGAGGAAACCAAATCATAGGGAGGCTCAGGAACTTGCCCAAGGTCACGCAGCGAGTAAGTGGCAAGAGCTGAGATTCAAACCCAGACAGCCTAGGCCACAGCCTGTGCACTGAACCACTATGCTCTGGTGGCTCCAGGGTGCTCCAGCTCTGAGTCCTGTGGGTGCCTCCCTCCCTCCCTGCCCTCCTCAGGATGAGCTCTGTGTCTGGACTGAAACACCAGGCGGTGGCCCAGCTTCCCTCCTCGGCCTCTGGCTGTGATGCTGGCTCCACTTGGCTCCTGTGACCTGATCCCAACTAGACACAAAATGCATCAGGTTAACCGGGCCAAGTCGTTGCCTGTGTGGGCGTTTGTGAGCGCACGTGTATGGATCTGTGCCTGTGCACGCATGCAGGTGTGCACATAAGTGTATCTGATTGCATGTGTTTGTGCATTTGTGGGCCTGCAGGTGTGTGCCCATATGCATCTGTCCATGTGACCACATGTGTGGTTGGGTAGGGGGATGGTGGACGGCAAGAGGTGATCATGGCGGGGGAAGGGGGGCACTAGCCTCACCTTCAAAGAGGAAGGTCTCGTTCCAGTGGGGGTTCAGGTTCTTCCGCTTCACCTTGGTCTCCAGCTTGTGCTTCTTGTCAGGCAGCAGGTAGATCTTGACGAAGGGGTCACTGGTGCCGCTGAAGTCCTTGGCCGGCAGCTCTTGGGCCTTCATGATCTTCACGGTGAGCGTGGACTCCTGGAAGTTATAGCCGACGCTGAACTGGATCCGGCCCAGGTTCTCTCGGCTGCAGCCCTCGTGGGCCTCGTCCTCCTCGGAGCCTGGGGAGAGCTGGGGGTGGGGGAGAGGCCGGCAGGGTTGGGGAGGATTCTGCTCCCCCCATGTCCCCACTGCTGGCCAGCACGGGTGAGAGGCCAAAGGTGGTGGCCCAGCCACATCCCATGGACACTGCTCAGGCTCAGAGGGCAGGTGCCTTGACCGGGGTCTCCCAGGAGGGGAGGGGAAGGGGGGATGGCAGAGCCTAGACAGCTCTGTCTCCTGAACCTCAAAGTCGTATGCACGACACCCACCTCCCAGGCTCTCCTCGCGGCCCTGGGTCTGCCGCCGGCCCCAAGCTCCAGTTCCGCTGCCTCACCTTCCTGGTTGTAGCTGCCCTGGTGCGTGCTGGGGTTCCCGAGCCCCCCAGACCTCCCTGCCCTCTCGTGGCACGGTAGGGCCAACTGTGGGATGCACTGACACAAACCTGGGCTACACAGCAGATGAGGGAGGCTGCTCACATCAAAAAGAGTGTACCGCAACAATTCTTTGCAAAGTGACTCTCTAGGGTGCGGAGAATGATGTGATTTACAAAATGAGAGAGGTACGTTTTCAGGAGCAATGTCTGTTTGTGTTAGGCAAAATCACCAGGGACAAGAAAATTGTAGACCCCCCAGGCCCTGTCCCCAAGCACTTTGACTGGATGGGGCTGAGGTGGGCCTGGGCATCAGTGCTGGGTAAAAGGCGCCTCAGATGACTGTACTGTCCATAGGGGCTGAGGAGTGCTGGGAGGGAGGGCGCTTGGGCTGACCCAGGAACGGACAGTCACACAGAGGCAGGGTGGGCATCTCATCCCATCCTGACATCCAACCACAGGAAGCAGCCGGGAGGAGGGTCTCCCAGCCACGTGTCTGAACCTGTGAGCACACTGGTAGTACCTAGGAGGTTTTGGAACCCTGCCCACCCTCCAGCCGCCTGAGTGCAGCCCCAGACCACTGATCACAGCAGACCCAGTTAGGGGGCTGCATGGCTCAGGTACCCCTGGCTCGAAAGTCTCCCACGATGACTGGATGAGAGACAGGAGCAGGACCCTGGGTACCACAGTAAGAAAAACTGCAGGCATCCGTTCTCTCCCCCGCTTCCCCCGTAGAAACCTGCTCTGTGCCCTCTCCTTCATCCTCGAGAGGCAGTCCTAGGCTCTGAAAGACTAAATAATACAGATAATAATAATGTATCCAGTGTGCTCTTGCCATGACCAGCGACTCTCCCATCGCCGTCTCCTTACTGAATCCTGATCATAGCCAGGCGAGGCAGGTGGCACCACCCTCACTGAAGAGACTGGTTCAGAGAGGTTAAGTCACATGGCCAAGACTGCACAGCAGTATGAATCCTCTCTGACTCAAAATCCTGCTCTTTCCACTGAAGCAGGCCCACACCCCAGCACAACACTGAGGTTTCCCCTCAAGCTGGCAAAGACCTGCGGACTCACCGTGCCAGGTGAAAACCGTCGGAATCACACTCGTGAGAGTTTTTTGTTTTTGTTTTTTTGAGACAAGGTCTCGCTCTGTTGCCAAGGCTGGAGTGCAGTGGTGCAATCCCGGCTCACTGCCACCTCCACCTCCCAAGGTCAAGCGATTTTCATGCCTCAGCCTCCCGAGTAGCTGGGACCACAGGCGCACACCACTACGCCTGGCTAATTTTTGTCCTTTTAGTAGAGGCAGGGTTTCACCATGTTGGTCAGGCTAGTCTCTAACTCCTGGCTACGAGTGATCTGCCCGCCTTGGCTTCCCAAAGTGCTGGGATTACAGGCATGAGCCATGCATCCAGCCTCACACTCACAACAGTAACTACCACGAACTGGCTGGCCGCCTGTAACCTGTGCCTTGTCCTCACTGACCTCTTACAACATCCCAACGAGGCAGGCACTCCCGCTGGAACACTTTCCCGGTGTTCCAACTGTGGCTGCCAGCACAGAGAGGTTGGGTCACTTGCCTCAAGTCGCCTGCGATTGAATGGCCAGTGGGAACGCAACCCAGTTGAGTGGCCAGGAATCCTGAGTCCCTTCCACCTGCGCCTTGCTCTTGCACTCAGATCTAGAGTCTGGGGCTTTACCCCGGTCCTGCCTAGTTGGGGGCACCGCGCTGCCTTACAGCAGAAGATGTTCCCTCCAGCCCCCACCCCTTGGCCGATCCAGATAACCCCTCAAGCCCCACTGCAGGCCCATGGAGAATGTGGTTTCCTTGTCCACAGTCTGCTTTTCCCCGACACTCTTTTCTCTGCTTATGCCAGCCCCACACGCACGCTTTGACCCTGTTTTTACATCTGCAGAGTAGGGACCATGACACCTACTTTGAGGGGTCCTGGGAGAGCTAGAAGGGGTCCCTTCTAGAGTTCTGCCCCGTGACCTGACCCACTGGCAGAGGGACCGAGCACCTGGGGCATAGCATGTGTAGACAGTGCCAGCAAAGACCACTCGCCCACCCCCTTGCTTCTAAAGTTGGGGTGGAGTTGCTGATGACCGGAGCCCAGGTGGCCCCCACCCCACCTGAGGTCCCTCTGGTCCCTTGGCTCTTGGCTCCCAAACGGTGTGGTCTTGGGAAGGCCTGGGCTGGCTAGGTGGGTTTCACCTCGGAAAGGGGTGGCAGCTCTGTGCCCACTCCCAGCCTTCTTAAGCCACAGCCCTGAGCCCTAATTACTCAGCTGGGGCAGAGCCATCTCTTTGGCAACCAGGTTGGCCACCCCATCACAGTCAGGGAAGGTGCTTCCCGAGCCCTAGCAGAAGTCAGCCTCGAAAAGCAGCAAGTCACCCCTGTACCAGGGCAGCAGGTGCCCAGAAGCACGTGTGGCCTCGCCTCTTCTCGGACACCCCTGCCCCTCAGCCCCTTCTCTGGCCAGCTCTGGGTGCTTAACTCTTGTCTCTCGACCCCCAGATTCCACAGCCCAGGGTCCGGAGACTGGGACAGGCTGAGGTCACAGTGGGCTGATTCTGCCCTGCTTATCTTATCATGGCTGTTAACGTCAACGGCCTAGCACTGGAACAGAGCTGTGCCATCAGACTCTGCCCTCCCACCTCTGAGCATCTTCCCAGCACAGGAGAGGGAGATGGGGCCTGCGCTTCCTTCTGCAGGCTGCAGCTGTTGGCCCCTCCCTGGGGGCAGCAAGGGGCAGGCAAGCTGGCTGTGAAGGGGCCGTCCCTTCTGGGAACCTGGCTACCGGGAAGCTGTAACCAATTAAGGGGCTATGCAGGGAGGCAGGGTGGGCTGTGGTAATGGCCCATCCAGAGGAGAAGACAGCCAGGGTCAGTCTGCCTGGGTGGGGGAAGATGGAAGGAGGGCAGTGGAGGGCCAGACACACAGGGGCCTGGCGGGCGGGGAGAAGGGGAGAGGTGGAGAGGCCCAAGGCGACCAGACCTAGGATGTGGAAAATCTGATGCTCTAATGTGGATTCAAGAAAACCACAGGATAGGCCGGGCGCGGTGGCTCATGCCTGCAAATCACAGCACTTTGGGAGGCCAAGGCAGGTGGATCATTTGAGGCTAAGAGTTTGAGATCGGCCTGGCCAACATGGTGAAACCCCATCTCTACTAAAAATAGAAAAATTAGCCGGCGTGGTGGTGCACTACTATAATCCCAGCTACTCGGGAGGCTGAGGAAGGAGAATCGCTTGAGCTCGGGAGGCAGAGGTTGCAGTGAGTTGAGATTGTGCCACTGAACTCCAGCCTAGGGGACAGATGAGATTCTGTCTCAAAAAAATAAAAAATAAAAAGGAAAAAAGCAGACTCTTAGGCCCCACCAAAGGCCCACTGACCAGGAATCTGCATTTTAACAAGGTTCCTGGGTGATTCCTGCACACGTAGCAATTTGAGAAACGCCAGGCTAGAAGGGGCAGTGGGGATGGATGGTTAGAGCTGGCTGGAACTCTACATGGCAGAAGGGTGGGGGCTCTGGTGCCAGGGCAGTGGGGGAGGGGTTGGGAGCTCCCAAGCCTACTTCCTTCTCTCTAGAGAAGTGAGGGGTTCAATCCAAGGAGATGAAGCGTCCCAGGTCAAGTCCAGTAGGAACAGAGCAGGGGCTGGATTCCCAACTTCGTCCCCTCTTCAAGCCTTCCTGGGACTTCCGACCTTTAACTGATCTCTGTCTGTCAATCTCCCCAGTTTTCTCCCTCCAGGACCTCTTTGGAAAAGTACAGGTGGGGCAAGTGGCTGTGACTCACTGCTGCCCCCGTGGGGGCACCGTGGGAACCACAACCTCTGTCTGGGCCAAGCAACCTAGAACTAGGATCCCACAGGGTTGGAGGCCTCTGGTGGGGCACGGGTGTGGACAGCAGCACCCCATCACAGCTGTCCCTCAGAGGAGCCGGGACCAGTGGATTCCTGCTCTCCTGTTCTCAGGGGCCTCTAGCCATGGGAATGGGGGAGGTCGCAGGCTAGGCCTTCCACCCCAGACCTCCACTTAAGGGGACATCACTCTCGGGAGGGGACACCTTCTGTCCTGAGTCCTCTGCCCACCAGCCTTTCCCTCTAGGATCCTGCAAGTATCCTGCATGAGTGGGTTTTCTTTGGTGCCTTCTCAATCCACAAAGGGATCAAAGCAGGATGGGAATTCTTATTTTCACTTGTCAAAGGAAGAAACTGAGACATGGAGAAGATATTTTGATGAAAGAGCTGGGAAGCAAACCCCGGCCTTGCACACTCAGTCACCAAGCGCCGAGTGGCCACCATGCTGGGCCTGGCTCTCCAGGCTGCTTCTGACCCGGTTCCCCTGCCTGGCCACTCCCATGCCGTTGCTGGTTCCCACACACGTCCCTCTTCTTCCTGCCCCTGGCCTCCCAGCCCAGTTCCTCGGAGCAGCACAGGCTCCCTCATTCTCACCATGAGCATCTCGCTGGTGAGGGAGTTGACGAGGTCTGAGACAGAGGAGCGTGGCTCGGTCCGGCGGTCAGACTCATCGTGGGGTGTCTGGCCTGGCACCGGGGCTGTGTTCACCGCCTTCCCTCCTGCAGGCAACCTGGGGGCAGGGGAGTCCAAATGAGATTGGGCTGGGAAGTGAGCTGGGTTGGGCACCCTGGCCTGAGGGGCGGCAGGACCTTCTCTGAAGACCCCAGCAGCTGCCATCCCCGACGGGCCAGCAGGAGTGGTACTCCTGTCCACATGGACACCTGGTTTTCCCTGGAAACCCATGCCTGGGGCCCATTCTCCTTGCAGCCCCTGCCCCAGGCGACTGTGGCTTAACTACTCCTATAGGGGATATTTGGGGGAAGTGTCCCCATTCTTCCTGTTCCCCAGAAACCCCCCACCCTCCAGTCATTGGCTTGCATAGTTGGTCTGTGAGCTGGCCACCGCCCCCACTCCCCAGAGGCTTGTTCTATCCCATCCGCCCCCAGCCTGGAAGGGGGAGGCTCCGCCGTGGCGTGGTGTGTCCAGGTGCCTCTCTGCGTCATTACCCTCTGCAAACACACCCAGAAGGTCTGTCTCCCAGACGCCCCACCTGTGTTTGCTTGGGCTCATCAAGAATCCTCTTCCCACCCTCTAGACATGAGACTGACCAGGTGAGGTCAGGACAACTCTCCACAGTGACAGAGTATTCTGTATTTGTGCTGTCCAGTGGAACAGCCGCATGCCGCATGTGTGCATTTGAGCATTTGCAATGTGGCCAGTGTGGCTGAGAGCTGAAATTTTAATTTTGTTGAATGTAAGCTCATTTAGGTTTAATGGCCCCATATTGGATAGGGTGAGTCTACACCCCCTTGTTCCCCAGTTCCCATCCTTCTCCCACTTGCTGAAGACTGTGCATTTGGTAAGGCTCTCACCCAGGGTCACAGAAAGACAGGCACCCCCAAGAAGCCCTGTCTGCACCTGACTCCATGACGTTCCCAGGATGCTGGGCTCTTTGACCCAGTGGCTGGGTGGTGAGCCCAGGCTCCATTCAGCTGGGTATCAGGAAGGGGCACTAAAAGCCTGCCCAGGGACCAGGCTGGCATGTCCCATGAGGAGGAAGAGAGGTGGAGGAAGGCAGGGAGGAAGAGACGGGGGACCAGTAGCATGAGGCTCAGGACAGGCTAAAATAGAACAGCTTTGAGAACACACAGCCACAAACTGGGAGCCACACGCTGAGGGTGGACATGAGCCATGGCCCTCGGGTAGAGACCAGCCTCCAGTACATAGGCGACCACGACAGGCACAGACAGACATGCACAGAATATGCCAGGCCCTGGAGGGGAGATATCAGGGTCCCAAAGCAGGGTGCGTGTGTGCACACACACACGCATGCACACACGTACACACAAAGCATGCACACACACGTGCATACACACACACATGCATGCACACACACATATGCATACACACACACATGCATGCACACACACATGTGCACACACAGGCACACACATGCACACGAGCCTCACAGACATCCAGAGGGGCAGGGAGAGGATGGCAGGGGCCACAGGCAGGCCAACCACAGCAGCAGTGATGACACACATACAGCGATGGCACACAGGGATCCCGAGAGGAGATGCGTTGGGGAGACCCAGGCATGCCACGAGTGCACGTGAAGGGGGACAAACTGAAACAGAAAGGGCAGGGAGTGGTTTCAGGGCCCAACATCCTGATTATCAGAAGCACGATACACCTGCTGTGAAAACCTGGCCCTGCCTCTACAACACGGAAACGCCCACTCCACCCAGCGACACGCGGGCGCCCCTCCCAGAGGGCCATGGCACGCATGGACATGTGGACACGCACGCACCACACACACACGCACAGGAGAGGACACGTGCTCACACGGGCAGGCAGGGGGAAGGAAAGGAGCCCGAAACAGCTGGAGAGGTAAAGTCAGGTTAGAAACAGAGAGGGAGAGCAGGGAGAGTGCGAGATTGGCTGCTGAAGGTATGAGAACGTTAGAGTTATTTGGCCACGCCGCAGCGTCGGCACAGCTGCCAAGCAGCCTGGGAGAGATGGTCAGCGCCACTGAAGCTGTCGGAGGTCACAGGACAGAGAGACAGAGGTGAGAGGCACAGAGAGAGGCAGAGGGAGAGGCCGAGGGGCCCATCGCCGGCCCAGGGCAGCCCTGTGAGGAGCAGATGGGAGAAAGGAGACAGAGGGAGAGAGAGGCCAAGAAAGTTAGTCAGAGACGTGTGAAGGCTGCCGGGTGGACGAGGGGACAGGGAGGAGCGTGCGGCCAACAGGAGAGGCAGAGAGGAGGCGGGGGACACACACCGTGACAGAACATGGTGGCTTCAGAGTAGGGAGAGCAATGGGGGTGGCCTGGTCCCCGCCTTGCCCTGTCCCCCACTCGGGGTGGGGGTGGGCCGCGGTGGAAACCATTTGGATCCCAAGGAGCAGTGGTGAAACGATGGCAGACAGCATGAGGGGGTGGACACGAGCAGAGTGGCTGAGGGTGGAATGGGCACAGCAGGGCGTGGAGCCAGGGCCTCCCTCCCTCCCGGGAGTGCAGTCTGAAGTGTGGTGCTGAGGCCCAGGAGCTGAAGGATCCCGGAGGGGGGACTTCAGGGACACCAAGAATCGTGGGGACAGAGGCAGTGACTGGCCCTCCCATCTCCTGCTGCTTGTTGGACACACTCCCACGCTGCTTGGAACCTGGAATGGCCACTCCTCCTCCCGGGGCGCTGTCTCCCATGAGCCTGCTGTTCACAGACCAAGGGGGCTGAGTGTCCTCCCCAGTGACAGCCAAGGGCCACTACCCCTTCCTCCAGAGACATCTGGTCAAGGGGTCAGCTGGGGAGGGAAAGGTGGGGCTGGGGTCAGAAGGGCAGACCCTGGGTCTAGAAGGAAAGGCTGAAGAGGGAGGGACAGCCACCCCAAGGCCACCACTCCCAAGTCTGAGGGTCCAGGAGCTCAGAGGGGTGGGGCCCTAAGCTGCCTGGTGCCCAGTGGGTGGTGCTGATGCCAAGCTTTGGGAAGGGGAGAGTCTGCTGGGAAGGAAGCATTGGATTCTGGACCCCTGTGGCAGCCCACCAGCCGAGAAGCACCCCAGTGTCCATGAGGAATGAATTTCCAGGATAGGTGGGCATGACGAGGCTGGAATGGCACGGTCCACTTGGAAAGTCAGGCTGGGTGGTGGCGAGAGCGCACGGCCTCCACCCCCACACCCACCTTTCCCAGGAAGGCAGGGGACAAGCTGATGTGATGATCAGAAGGGATGGGTGTGTTAAATATGGAGTGAGACCTAAGTGGCAAGGAGGTAAAAATAGACTGTGGGTGACAATGGAGCCGGTTCATTAACACATGGGTGATGTGAAATCTTGTTTCCAGCCTGCTTCTGCTCCCTCACGCTTCACACCTTTCCCAGCACCAGTCTCAGCTTCTTAGTGGGCGTTCAGAGGACTCCAGCCACCCCCTATGTCTTCTCGCCCCTGGCTCCTGGCCCTCCCAGTGGCCCTCTGACTGCCCTGCAGCCTAGCTTTGAGACCCTGGCTCAGGAAGTCACAGCTCCTGTAGTAGTGCCTAGGTGGGTCAGGGGTGGCAGGCTCCACTCCTCTGGTACCCCTGCACATGGGCTCAGGGCCTGACACCATTTGTGCCACTCAGTAAAAGACCTGGCCCCACTCTCTGGGGACTTCCAGCCTTGCCCACCACAGACCATGCAACTGCGGACTCAGGATGGGAAGAAACTGGGAGGGATGGTCTCCAGGAACCACCAGAGGGACAGGCAAGCCAGCCATCTTGCCTCTCAGTCTATCCACCCTCCCTAGCCCACAAGCCCAGGGCAGCAGCCTGGGACAGTCCCTTCTGGCCCCTGGGGCCTCTCAAGAGCCTCAGGATGGCCTGTCCAAACAGTCCCTGCCCAGCTCACAGGACACATGCCCCAGCCTAAAGGCCCGTTTCCCTCATGAAAAGCTTAGCATATCTGAGCCTGAGGGGCCATTCCTTAGAGGTTACCCTGTCCAATCCTTCACTGGACAGATAAGTGAGCAGAGAACCCAGAGAGGGGCTGTGACTTGCCCAGGGCTGCGGAATGAGGCTCTGGCAGAACCAGAGCTGGAAGGCAGATGTCTTGGCTGCCAGGCCACACGCTGTCTTGCAGGCCTTTGGTCTGATGGAAAGCAGACCCGATCAAGGTGAGAAGCCCTCCTCCCATGATTCCCAAAGGCTAATTCATCCTGGAAACCACAGGTGTGGTCAACCCAACCTAAGGTCAGGCATCCACTGGCCCAGCTGTGGGATGTTGCCTGAACCCTGGGACCTCCCACCCTACCCCTTGCCCGTGAGCAGCGCCCCGCCCCCTCCTGAGACGGGGACAGTAGGAGATGCTTTCCTGAATTCCTGATAGCTGAGGCTGTGGCAGTTTAAATGCCCAGGCTTCTGCTTGGCCTGTGCTGTGGCCACACAGGCTATGCCCGGTCTCCATAGGGTCCCGAGGCCAGCCGCAGTGACAGGGAGCCCAACAAAGCCAGGCCTCACCCTTGCTCAGGACGGCTGCCTTCACTGCTCCGGGCCCTCCCCAGCTCTCTCCTGGTGCCCCGGCTCAGGGGAGAACCTTCTGGTTATTTCTGGTCACCAGATCTCTCCCATGCCCCAGACCCTCCCACCATGGGCTCTTCTTCCATCAGCCAAGCAGCCCAACAGGACCTCCAGGCAAGAGGGAGGTTGAGGGGGTGGGGATGAGGGAGAACAGGCTGGTGCCCCTTCCCTAACATCCCCCCCGCCCACCAACCACCAGAGAAACAGGGATTTCCGGTTGGGGTGGGGACAGAGATGAAAGATGGAGGGCAGCAGAGAGGAGCCAAGCAGGAAGATGGGGCAGAAAAGGCTGCGCTTGCTCCGGGCTGGGGCAAGCATGCCGGAGAGCAGGCCTGATCCAGAATGGTCCCAGGATGGCCACAAGTGGCCTCAGACCCCAGGGACACCACCAAGGTGGCTGTGTGTGAGGGCACCGGCTGGGGAGGGGGCTCGTCCTCCTGCTCCAGCATCCGCTGAAGGCACCACCACCTCATCCAGCAGCCGGGGCCGGTCGAGGCAGGCGGCCTCTCCGCGCCTCCTTCTCTGCCGCCGCCGCCGCAGGCCCTCGCCTGTGCTCGTACCTCTTGTCCCCCTGAGCGTTCTGGTTCTGCTGGGTTCCTGGGTTTTGCAGGTCAGGGATATTGGCAAAGTCATCCTGTTCCGAAAGCCCTAAGACCAAGGATAGCACCACCATCCGGCCTTCCCTGCCCGGGGTGGGCAGCCCACCGGCCAGGGTGAAACGAGGAGGCCCCGTGGGCAGGGGCAGGGGGGAAGGAGAGAGAGAGAGAGAGAAAGAGAGAGAGAGAGAGAGAGAGAGACAGAGACAAAGAGAGAGAAGAAAAAAGTGTAAGAAACTGGCCCTGCAGGAAAGAAAGCAAACTTCAGCACTGTCAACAGTTGCAGGATAGAGTGGGGAGAGTGGAGGCAGGGAGGGAGGGGAGGTGACTATGGCCTGAGACTCCACTGGCCCGAGCCAAGAGCAAGATTCTCCAGAGCTAAACTGCAAGGGGCTGGGCAGAGGCCTGCAGAGGTGGCCTATGGCTGGGACAGTCCCAAGGGAACACGGGGGGTAGGGTGGGGGGAATGGAGCATAGGCCCTGGGACCCCACAGATTTTCAAAGGCTAATGCATGCCCAGCTGGACTCGCTCTGACCATCTGGGCCACTGGGAGAAGAGGGAGGGGCTCCGTCAGTATCGGGCTCCGTCAGTATTCTGCACCGGCACCACGCAGGCTTAGAAAGTTTCAAAATCCAATGGGTCCTGCACCCTGTCCTTATGGAAGCCCTTCATAGACAATGCTGTGTCACGGTCAACCAGATGTCCTTGAAGCCAGGCAGGGTCTAAGGAGCTACCTCCCCTAGGCTCCTGGATAAACAAGCCCATCAGAGGAGAATGAAAGTCCTTTGTGGTATATGGCAACTCGGCCACAGTGGCTGTCTCCTGTGTCCTCCTTGCTGGAGATCCAGGGAAAGAGCACCACCGCTGAGTCCAGGTCAAGGGCCTTTCATTGGAGAAGAGGTCCAGAAGGTACCACAAGCCAAGGCGGCAAGAAAGTGCAGGAACTTGGCAAGGTCTGGAGAAGTTTTGGCAGGACTGCAGGGGGCCTGTGCCTGCAGTGAGAGAGCGCACTTTGAGGGAGCACAGTCAAGGCTGAACAGGCGGGGGGTAGGCAAGAGGGCGAGACTCTCTTGGAGTGGACATGTGGCAGCTGTATGAGGCCAGGTGTGACACCGTTAGTAGGGGCATTCTCAGAGAACCACTGGGCAACTTGCCAGGGTCTTTGCGAGGTTACCCGCATTTGCCGGGGGGGGAAAGGGAGCATCAGTGGTGACCCTGCTGTCCCCATAGGCCATCAGAGTCCGTGAGCGTTTTCTGGGTGCTTTGTGGAGCTCCTCCAGCGTGGGGCCTCTCATCAGAACAAAAGGAGAGGGAGGGGTTCTCGGACAGGCCAGGCAGGAAAGCACGTCTCAAGAAGGGCCAAAGGGAAGACAGTAGGGCTGATGGAATATTCTGGAAGGGAGAGGATGCTGGGTCAGGATGTCTACCACTTCAACGTGAAGGGAGGCGAGGTTACAGAGGAAGAGCTTGCTCTAACTTCTCAGAGCGGTTGTCAAAAAGGGAACAAACAGGTGAGAAACAGCCTCTGAGGTGAGGGGCGAGGGCACGAGGGTCTTGGAAAATGGGACATTACCTCTGGGGTCTCAGCGCACGGAGGGAGCTAAGTGGCTGCTGTGCCCCTCCCTGTCTTTGCATCTTTGGTCCTGGGCACAGTTACTCCAGGCTGACCCTTGTGCTGGGATCTAACTTTCGGGAAAAAAAACTCTGCCCCCTCCCTCAGGACAAATCCTCATTTTCTTTGTTTTCTGCCCACCGGTACTGTTTCAGAGTTGGTAAAATTCCATTTGGCTGCTCGGGAGCTAGTTGTGCTGGGGGAAGGCAAACTCAGTGAAAACAACATGTTTTTTCCCCGGTTAATGCATTTTTCAGATACTCCTTTTTCTCTTCTTAAAAACAGAACAGCTCCTCTGCATAAATTCCTGATTCGTCACTCTCTCCAGCTCTGCAGGCCGCGAGGCTTAGGATGAGGGGCAGGGGCTGGAGAGTGGAGGGAGAAGCTGGCAGTGTTAGGGGAGTCACGACCATCAAGCAGAGGGCTGCTGCCCTCCCTGCAAGGCGTAGGTGGGATCATGGGGGGCCAGGACAACCCTTGCCACCTGCTTCTCTACTGGAGCCACCAGCATTTGGGCAAGAAAAGAGCCTCAGAAGCAGGGCAGCTAAACTGTAAGGCAGGGGGCAAAGTACGGCCCACGAGCTAAGAGTGGTTTTTACATTTTCGCATGGTTGTTTTAAAGAAAAAAAGAATGTGTGATGGAGATCACATGCGTCTTGCAAAGCCTAAATTATTATCTGGACCTTTCTAGGAAAAGTTGGCCGACCCTTGATGTGAGCTCTGGAGGTTGCCAGCGACTAGGGGAACGTGAGACTTGGCCTGGGACGCAGAGCAGGGACAGGATGCTTCCGCATGTGCGATGCTGGACCAATCCCGGTTCGCTGAGAAGGCAGCAGGCAGGGAAGAGATGGTACCCAGGTTCCTGGCAGGCCCCTGGCCCAGTCTGATGGCTGCTGGAACAGGAAGTGGGGTGACAGCTGTGATGAGACAGTCTGAGGTGGGGAGCAGCAGGGGCGTGCAGGCACCCGGAAGCCTCTCAGTCCTGTTCAAGCCTCTGTCCCAAAACAAACCGCCACCTGAAAGACAGGAGGCTTTTCTGGGCATCTCGTCTTGTGCAGGCGTCCAGTTAGATTCCTGAAGGTCCTTGAGTGGGGTAGAGCCCCAGAGAATAGGGTGTCCTGATTTGCCAAGGAGAGTCGCAGGCAGCATGTCTTGCTGGCCATGGGCCACTCGCACAGGTATGGGAAGCTGGCATGGCAGGGCCTCTTCGGATGGGGTGTCTCGCCCAGGACAGCGCTCCCACCTGCCCAGGAAGCCCTGGCTGAGGTCTCAGAGGAGAGACAGGACGCTCCGAGGAACTTGCTGGCCTTCAGAATCCCTATATCTTGCCAATGCTTCCCTTTCCTCCTCCCTTTCTCCTCTCCCAGGCTTAGTGTGCTGGTCTCCTGCTCCGTGAAAAGTGCTCCCAGGGAAGACCTGGGCGATGGGAAAAATCCCCAGGGCCTGGAAGGAAGCTCATGTTAGGGCAGAGGAGGGAGGTGATGTTGGGGATGGCAGCCCAGACCTGTCTTAGGCTCTGAGAGTGGGGGGCAGATGTCCAGAGGGATGCTGGGGAAGGGGCTTCCTGGGTGGGGCCCCTCCAGGAAGAGCAGGGGGTGGGCGAATGGCTGGAGGGAATGGTTAAGGTTAGACACTGATGGTGTGTTGTTACTTCTTAGACCTGTATGCTTGAAAGAAAGCTCCATTTAGAAACAACCTTTTCTAAAGCTTTGGGGCAACATCTCAGATTTGTCCTCAGGGGATGGGTCATTACTGGAGGAAGGAGACTTGGGAAGTCAGGGCGGGAGCTAGAGGACAGGTGGCTACAGAAGGTCAGAGAGATGGGGGAGGGCTGGTGGCAGGGACAGGGATAGAGGAAGTGAGAGGGAGGGAGGGAGGGGTGTGGGCCAGGAAGGCTAGCAGAGTCGGGTTACAGGGGAGAAGTAAATTGAAGGGGAGGAGGCAGGGCTGGAGATGAGTAAAAGGGATGGGTTTGGGAGCAGAGCAGGGAGGAGAGAGGTTGCAGGAGTGAAGGAAGACCGGCTGGGAGGCCAAGAGCAGCCTGGGACTAGCTGGGGAGAAGAGATGTATCTCAGGGCATTGTCCAGTGTCTCCACCTAACTTTTAGGGGGGAACTTCCCTAAAGGCAGGGGTCCTCGTAGGGAGGTGGCTCAGAATCCTTCCATGGTGGCCTTCAGGCATGAGCCACAAGAGGCTAAGGAGGGGGCTGCCAAGTCTGCTTGGCACCCTGCCAAGGGGATGGAGGGCCGGGAGGTACACACAACCAGCTGCTTCCAAGGAGATCTAGGGGGCAGGAGGCTGGGTCGGGGAGGTGGGGGCCGGCCCGCTCAAGGGGAGGACTTACAGGAAGGATTTCATGTCCAAGCCTCGGTTTCGAATCTGCCCCACCACGTGGTCCCAGCTGCCCGGGTTGGAGCGGCTGCGGCCCCCCGCCGCCCGGTACTTGGAGCCGGCCGAGGTGCCCTGCCGAGCCTGGCCCCGGCCATAGGCCCGGGGGTTGGGGCCCGGCGCCGAGGCCATGTGGGCCTGCAGCTGGCCCAGGCTCTGGCTGGTGGTGGGCTGGCTGGGCTGCCGGCCCCGCTGGTGCTGGCTCAGCGGCTGCTGCAGGCTCTGCTGCCGCATCAGGGTGCGGGGTCGCTGGCATTTCGGCTCTCCCGTGGAGCTGGGGATAGACTCAAGGGTAGTGGCCGTGGACAGGGTGGAGTCCTCGAAACTTGGGGCAGGTGGAGGAGAGGAGAGAAAGGAGAAGCAGGTGAAGGGATCACAGTGGAGGAGAAAGAAGCCGAGGGCCAGGACTAGGAGGCCCCAGTGCAGGGTGCGCGCTGTCGGACCTCGCCAGGCCTCCATCGGAGCTGTCGCCGCTGCCGTCGCCGCCACTGCCTCTCCCAGGAGGCTGCAAAGCCCTCGCACCCACCCTGAGTCCCCAGGTCGGCTCCGCCCGCCCACCTTCTGGCCCTGGCTCAGCTAGTGCCCGAATACCTCCTGGCTAAGCCGACCTCCCTGCTGGTCTGAGTGGGCTGCCAGTGCTGCCAAGGCTGCGTGGTGAAGGCAGGTCCCCTGGGCCCTGCGGCTGCCTGTCATGTTGGAGTGGGAGGGGTGGAGGGAGCTGCTGTGGCTCCTCCCGCTGTCTCGCTGGGGGACACGAGGAAAGTCTGCCTCTGTGTTCTAAGTACTGCCATCCTTTGGAGACAGGAAGAAATCCAGGCCAGCACAGAGCTGGCCTAGTAATCCTGGGGAGGCCGGGGAAGCCATCAGTTCTTATACTTTGTCCGCAGAGGTGAGGAAGCGGCAGACCTCTGCCCTGTGGCCAGCACCTCCTTAGGATTCAGGCTCTGGCATGGGTCTTTGCCCTCTTTCCAGGGTTCTTTGTTTCAAAGGTCCAGCATCCTCTCCTGGGATCTTGGAAGTATCTCCCAGTCAGAAGACTGGACCAAGGAAAGAGTGCAGACAGGGTGGGAGCCCAGTATCCACTCATCCGACACTTCACCGCAGTTCTAGCAGAGAAGAGGGTGACTGTCTTTGATGCATTTGCAAGGGGGTGCTCTCCCACAGGCCCATCAGCATCTCTGAAGTGCACTGGGAAGTGGGGCAAGGACAGAGAACTAGGACATGGCTGGTCAGATTCTGTATAGCCTCATAGAGACCTGGGTTTGAACCCCACCTCTGCCACTTACTAAATATGGGACTCTGGAAAAGTGACTCCATCTCTCTGGGCCTCAGTTTCTTCATCTACGAAATGGGAGTAATAAAATAATCCCCGAGCTTCCTCTGTCACAGAGTTGCCATGAGGATCTAATGAGGTTGGGCTGTATTGAAAATGCTGTATTGGTAAAAGGTCCCCATGCCAGTGGTTGGAGTCCGAAGTCCCTGGCCTCCCCTGGAGAACCTGTCTGCTTCATGCGCTGGCTGGAGATTTCACCATATCCCACAGGCAGGGCCAGAGCCAGGCTGCCCCCAGGCACCAGAGCGGAGCTGGAGACTGGGCTGAATGAGCAGCTTTGGGTGAATCATTTCTCATCTTGGAACTTCAGGGTTCCAATCGTCTCCTCCTCTGTCCCTTCCCTCCACCTCTCAATCCAATGGCCCTGGGGAGGGGTTGGGAAGTCATTGCCTGTGGGCCACATCTGGCCTGCTGCTTGTCTCTGTAAATAAAGTTTTACTGGAACCAAGCCATTGGCATTAGTTTACATGCTGTCTCTGGCTGCTTTCATTCCACAATGGCAGGGTTGAGTCATTATGCAAGAGACTATATGGCTTATAAAGCCTAAATATTTTCCAAGTGGCCTTTTACTGGGAGTAAGTTTGCTGACCTCTGGTCTAGAGCCATGGGGCAGTCAAGTATCTCCCGGGCTGCCCAAGGGAGGAGGCCCCAGAGCCCTTGGGAGCCACTTTCACCACTGCAACCAGACCTCAGCTTTGCTCACCCTCTGAGCCTACCTACCCTGGGAACCAAAAGACAACAGTTAGGCTACCCCTGTGGGCTGAGAGAGAGAAAGAAAGAGAGTGAAAGAGAGAAAGAAAGAGTATAGTAAAGAGAGAGCGAAAGAGAGAGAGAAGAAAGCAAAACATGGCTTTAGCTGGGGTCTTGGAGGGGTGGCAGCCTTGCCTGACTCAGGCCTGAAATCAGGGCTACCTCCAGGGGCAGGCCCAGGCCTGGCCGGCCAGGTAGGCCCACGGCTCCCTGGGGGCAGGTGGAGGCAGAGGGAGGGTGGCACATTGGCAGCTGCCTCCTCCTCCTCCTTGGTGACCTCATTTTGGTTTCCTATCACATCCAAAATTAGTCCAATTTACAACCTCTCAGTCACAGGAAACTAAAATTGGTTCCTCCAGGCCTGAAGCCAGAGGATGGCATGGAGGCCTAACTGGCCTGGAGACTGGCTGGGGCAGGCTGGGAGGGTGGGGCACTGGGCCAGGCTCTCTAAAGGGGTGTGTGGCTTCCCTGTGGGACCCTCCTGAGGCCAGATGTTGGGAGAAATTGGCTTGTGTGCACTCAAGCCAACTAGCGAACGAGATCTCAGTACGGTGGCCTTCAGTGCTCCCAATAGCAGGAACCACAGATCTTCTGAAGAGAATCAGGAGGGCCCTCAGTTGAGGCAACAGGATGGCCCAACAGCTAGAAAGGGGCAGGGCTGTTGACCTGTTAAGTGGGAGGCTGCTCCATTAGTTGGGAGTTCCAACTTCTGAAAATGGAATTTATACCCCAAGGGAAACTGGTCACAGCTCAAAGGACTCAGGGTCTAGAAGGGCTCTGCGGAGGGGAATCAGAAGTTTCCAAAGGCCAAGATGAGAATAAAGCTGCCCCATGAGAGGGGATATACTATCTGTGGAAAACAGGGGCCAATCCTACGTCCATCAGCCAAGAGTGGGCCTGACTCTTTGACTAGCTCAGACAGCTATTACAGAGGGGACAGCTCCTTCTGCCTGATGTCTAGAACACCCCATGACATCTGGCGAGTGAAGCTAGCTGGGGTTTGACAACCCAACCTCCAGGAATACACGGTCCCAACAGCCAATGGTGGGATAGCTCGGTAACCAAGACTGGGACAGCCAACAGGGATGGCTGAGATGAGGATGAACCGATGGGGCAGCCTGTGGCTGCTCGTGAGTGGCTTCCACAACAGATGATGTATGGTTCGAGCAAGACTGGGACAGCCAGTGGAGTCACCCCATGGTCAAAAATGGAATGGCTCAACTTCTGGGTCTACAGCCGTCTGCTGGCAGTAAGAGGGAAAGCCTGGGAGCTGATGGGTGACTGTCAGGTTGAGAGTGGGCCAGATACCCAGGATGAGATGGAACAACCACAGGCCTGCTGCCCGTGGAGGGATGACCTGGTGGCTGAGATGGGGCGGCCAATCAAAGAGGATGGGATGACCCGGAAACTGAAATGAAGCTGCCCTGGGGGCAGAAAATGGAATGACCTGGTCACTGGCAAAGGAAGGGACTGATGGGGCATCAGCCAGAGGCTGAAATGCATCACTGTATGGCTGAGTTCGTCGTGCCAAATGGCAAGGATGATGGGAGAGTCTCATGAAGGGATGGAATGAGCCAGGGGCCGAGGACGGCACCTCTGGGGGCAGCAGCGGGCATGCCAGGGGTCCCGCTGTCCACCCTGACAGGGCAGGCCTGAGCTCACGGCTCCGGCAGCCATGGGGCGCCATCACTCACTTGGACAAGTTGAGCTTCCCTGCGGCCAGGTGGCTCTGCACCGTCCGCCAGCGGCCTCTCCCGGCCTTGCCACTGCTGCCCGGCTCGCTGGGGGCAGCCCCGCCGCTTCTCAAGGCGTCCTCTCCGGGTGGTGGCACCGGCGCCGGCTTCTCCCCCAGCCGGCCTTCCCGCTCCACCGCCAGCCCCGCCGCGGCGGCCACTTTGGCGCCCGACAGGAGGGTGCCACTGGAGGCATGCACAAGGCAGCCAGGCCAGAGGGGCACCGGGGGTGGCGGTGGGGGAGAGAGGGCGGGCCATACGTGGGGGTGGGGGGGTGGAAGAGGAAGAAAAACAACAACAGATAAAAGGAAGAAAGAGACAGTGAGAGAGGAGGAGGAGAGAGACAGACGGACAAGAGACAGACAGAGAGAGAGAGAGACATCAGCACTGCAAATGGGTTAACAGCGGAGCCTGCAGAGAGGAGAGAGGGGGACCGGGCGGGCTGGGGGTCGGAGAACAACGCACCACGACAACGGAGGGGGGGCCCCTCCCCACCGCCTGGGGCAGGGGCGGCGGGGGTTGGGGGAGGGCAGCCACCTCCAACTCTATCCCACAGGACAACGAAGGGTTAACGACGGAGGAAGAGCGGGCTGTCCAGGCCAGGAGGCCCCAAGGCAGGGAGAAAGAGAAAGCCGTGTTAGTCAGAGTTCATCACCACCACCACCACCATTACCGCCACCACCGCCACGAACCACCGACCACCGACCACCGACCACCGAGCAGCCACGGCAGCACACAGCGGGGAGGAAGAAGCGACCACAACCGAGGGGGCGGGACCCAAACGGGCAACCCCATCCTGACTGCACAGAAGGTGGGGTGGGCCCCGGGACCAGCTGGGGGGGCCAAGTATGGCTGCCGAGGGGGCTCTCCTACAAGGCTGGCCCTGGGGGAGGGGACAGGAGCGGGCAGGCAGGTGGGCGGGGGCAGGAGGGGTTGCTCGTCTCCATGGTCGGCCTGCCCATGGGGTGGATGGGTGGGGACGTTGGGGGACAGGAGCGAGAGGAGGGAGTGAGGGGGGCCAGGGGTGGGTGGGGGCGGGAGGAGGGAAGGAGGGCGTGCGCGGATACTCGGTACATATGATCAAACCAGGTAAAGTCACTCACTTGAGGGACAGTCGTGGGTCGCCATAAGGGGCGTAGGGTGAAATGTTTAGAATAAACTCCTTGGGAGGGTAGGAGCTCCATTTCTGCTGCACTGTGCTCTCATTGTTATTCCAAAAGTCTCTGTCTAGATCACTGGAGGGGCAGAGAGAGAGGGGAGAAAACAGGGAGATACAAGAAGAAACAAGAACTGCAAGTCCTGCAGGGGCAGAAGGGACCAGGACCCCGGGGCCGGGCACACAGGGGGCGGGGCTTCGTGGTCAGCTCCTGCGGGAGGAAGAAAGGCAGGCGGGCACCACAGTCTGTGCCTCGCACACACGGGCACACGCACACACACGCACACATGTGCAAGCATACCCATGCACACACGCACGCACCCGAGGGCCGGGAAGCCACACAGAAAGGAGGCAAGCGGCAGGCGGCAGACCGGAGCCTCGCACCTGGGAAGCTGGTGGGAGAGAGAAAATGATGAGAGGCGGGGACGTGGGGGAGAAGGGTTGGGGACGAGGCCCGGGGTGAGCAGGGGGAGTGGGAGAAGGAGAGTGCTGGTTTCTGGCTAGATGGAGCTGAAAGGCAGATCAGGCCCAGGTGCCAACTTGCTAGGCCCTACCTCTCCTGGCCTCAGTTTCCTGGCCGGTCAAAGGAGAAGACTGGCTGTAACTGCTATACTATCAACTCTCTCACTGTAGAATAAAAGCTCTAGTACTGGAGAACTCAAGGTTCTCTCCTCTTCCATGTTCTCTCCACTGAGGCCCTCCTGGGGCAGGCCCAGCCCCTTAACCATCTTTCACCTCCTCCTCCTACTGGCCTGAGGGGCTCCCTGGCTTCCTCTGCTCTCTCTTCTACTCTGTGAGGTGGGGCTGCAGCCTTAACCTAAGACTGGGGGATCTCAGCTGAACTGGAGACCATCTCTACTCCTTGCAAATGTGGCAGCTGGGTCACCCCACCCCCCTGAAAGGGGAGCATTCCCAGGCCTCTGACCTTGCTGAGGATGTCACTAAGGTAACCAGGGCACCCTTCAGTCCTTTGTTCTGGGGCCTGTGTAGCGGGAACCTGTCCTCTGGGTGTGTCCCTGGCCTGCCTGCTGGGGCAGCCCCTCCCTGGGTCCCTATCCCTTTCCAAGGTGGAGCTGCTGGGTCTGGAAGGGACCTTCACCCCGGACTCTCCACCTTCTCCTGAGAACGTGGGGACTTGCAGGTGGGGTGGGTGGCAGAAGCCTTGGCCGGTGGAGGGCACAGCCTGGAACCCCTGGGAGCCAAGGACAAGGGGTGCCACCAGCTAATCAGGCCACTGGGACCCCAAGAAGCAGGGCTGGAAGTACAGGGGAATAGAGACAGTGACTTTTATGGAAGGCAGCCATGTTTCAGGCACGGGAATGCCTCTAGAGAAGAGGCCCCGGGAGGAGCACTGGGGTAGGCCTGGGGAGGACTGAGGCTGTGCCGCTCCCCAAAGCCAAGGTGGGGCAGTGTGGGGAAGGGTGCCATCGGGGGCACACACCACCCCTCAGGATCAAGCAAACATGTTCTTGTGGGACCTGCTTTTTCCTCCATTTAGAATTTGACCTTGACCTTGGTTCTCAACCTCAGACTCAGGCACAAAAGTGAGAAAGATGGAGAGAGGCTGAGCTGCCACCATAGGCCCAGATGAGATGGTGGCGTTGGGCATCCCTGGCGTAGACAGATTTCTCTGTCCAGAGTACACCCTGGAAATGTCTCACAGGGGACTCTGTGTACAGGGTTCAAAGCCAAAGCGTAGAGCCAGCTCACAGCGGCAGTAAGTGGTGGGTATGGAGGAGGTAGGACAGGCCCCAGGGGAACCTAACCCCTTGACAAAAAACCCCCTTCCCACCACAGATGTCCCTTCCCAGCAGAGCCTCACACGAGGGCATGGCTGGGGCACCCCGTGTCAGGTATAACAGAGATGGAGCAGGTAGGTGCCTCCCTTTCCCACTCCCTCCAGATCTCCAGAATCTAGGGCCACCCAACCCTAGGTCCCAGAAAAAAAATCCACCCAAAGCCACCACTGCCGGACTTGTCTGTGTTCTGAAGAGCTCCAGGGTCCCTCAGGTTTTTCCACTGTGGTACTGGAAAAAAGGATCTTTGATTAAAGAAATTTGGGAAACACTGATTCCTTTACCGCAGGACTTCTCAGAGCCTTTAATGTGCCCATGAATATCAGTATCGCCAAGAGGGAGACAGAGTGTACAGTGTTCCCCAAACTTAGTCGACCATGAGACCCTTGATTCATGGAACAGCTATGACTCATCTATGGGGCACAAGGGCCCTGAGGCACACAGTTTGGAAAGCACTGCTAAAGAACACAGTTTCCTAGAATCCTTGATAAGACGATCCTTTGTGGGGGGTCCTAAGCCCGTGGAGGGCTGTGCAGGAAGGAGGCTCTCCCTCCTGTGACTCCACTGACTTGGGCCCTTTCTGTTCTCTTCTGGAAAGAAGCAAAGGCTGAGGTGCATGTAGACACACGTGGTGGCTTCCTTCCCTCGGGGCAGAGGGCCTGACCACTCAGCAGCATCGGGGGCAGGCTAGGATTGAGTGCGGGAGCTGCAGCACCACACAGAGGCAGGCTGGATGGCCGTGGCTGCCTCACCTTGTCTTAGAGAGCCCTCATGGGCACTGGTCCCAGCCTGGCACAGCCTGCTGCCTGCCCTCCCTCTGGTTGGGAATCCTGTCTCCTCTCGTGGGCCCTTTCCAGGACTCCAGGCCCTGCCACACGCACCCCTATCCAGGAAGGTTATGATCACCTGGCACAGACAGGCCCCCAGCCCTGGCCCGCAGCTGTAAACGGCCTGTCCTGGAGGAGGCACAGGTGCTGCGCTGGCCGTGCTCCCCCACGCGCTCTCTCGCCTTCAGAAAGCCCGGGCCTGCACTCTGCAAGAGCCCCTGAGCCCTGCCGGCACTTGGCTTTGAAGACTGGAGCCTGCGCAACCAACGCAGCTTCAAAGGCTCCCGCAGCCTCCTCCTGAGTCTCCTGCCCTCCCCCAGCCTCAGCCTGGCCCACCCCTCCTCTTGCCCCACCTCAGACACATGCACACAGATTCTACCAAGGCCCCAAACAGGATCAGTGCAAGAGATGAACAAAATGGGGCAGAGGAAGGCCTGGAAGGGAGCCCTCGGGAGCGGGGTGCAGGGTCGGGGAGTTGAGAAGAGAAGGTGGAGAAAGAGGAAAGGGAAGGGAAGGGGAAAGATGCACAGGGGAAGGCAAGGGAGACCAGCAGTGGGCAAGGGCCAGAGGGCAAGGGAGGGTGGCTGGGCCTTCAGAGGGATGAAGAGTGGGGGTAGGGAGGGCTGTGGGCATTCGGCTTCTAGGCAGAGCCCTTTGGCTGGGAGGCTTGGTCCAGGCCAGGCTGACGTGTAGGGTTACCACCCCTACCTTGACCTCTGGGTTCAGCAGAGAGGAAGGGGCTGGGGCCACTGACCAGTGGACACAGAGGCTTCCCCCCCAGCGAAAGCCTCCATTTCCAGAGCCCAGGTGGCCTGAGTCCCCAGCCAGGTGGGTGGGGGGCTTCTCTTGGTGTCTCCCAGTGACCTCAGCAGAGGGCTGGCTAAGATGGTCTGCAGTGGGAGGGCAGACCCCTTGAAGAGGGCTCTACAGCAGAACAAGGAGATCGGGGTAAGGCAGAGACAGCCACACACGCAGCGGCTGGTGGGGGTGACGGGGAGGGAGGGACTGCTCCCCAGCGCTCTGCTCCCTGAGTGGCCCAGCACAGGGGCCAGCTGGGGTCCACAAGGCGTGTCTGCCTCCCCACTTCCAGGCCATCCTTAAACACTGGCAGTATCTGAGAAAAGAACCTGGGGTCTACTAGGGAGGGGTCTCCCTGGCCTAGCAGCAGGGGCCCCATGAGAGGGTCTTAGAGGTCCAGGGGAGCCTGTGGGTGGTGGGCACAGTGTGTGTGACAGGAAGGTTGGATGGGAAAGCGGCAACCAGGGTTAAGGTGGGTGCAGACAGTGCTGGGGGTGACAGCAGCAGAAACGGAGGCCAGGGACTCCGGAACACTGCAAGGGGCTTGGGCACAGGCAGAAAAGACAGGGCCCCTGAGTTGTTGGGGCATGTGGAGGGTGTAGAGAGCATGGCATCAGGGTGTGGGGGAACCGAAAGTGTGTGGTCAGGTCTGTGGGGCTGAGGGAGAGAAGGGGCTCCTCCCACCTGGGCTGCTTGTGTGGCCCCATCCCAAACTGGCAGCCTGGCACCTACTTGATAGCCTTCTTCTCACTGCGCCCACGCCCTGAGTCTGGCGTGCCCACCGTCTCCAAGGAATTCTTGTAGCGTTTGCCCTGTGGAGATAGCACTGGGGTCACTCCTGGGGAACAGGACTGTACCCTCCCCACCTCCCCAGAACAGGGACCCAGAGGGGAAGGAGACAGACCTGAGTTGGGCTGTGGCAACAAGGCCAGGACCAGTGTGTGAGGATGTCACAGCGGTGGGGGCCAATCCCCTGGATGCCTGCTCCCCGGTTGGCAGCTCCTGGTCCCCATTGGGCTCTAGGACCTGCCTCATCTGCCTCGACCTGAACCTCATCCCTGACTCCCAGGGATTAGCCCCTCCTGTCTGCCTATCTCCTGGGGCTCTGGCCTAGCTCCCAGAAACACAGTTCCCTCTGCCATGGACAGACGGCTCTCAGGCGCCTGGCCACGTCACACTGTCCACGTCATCACCCCCAGATGGTGGGGGTGGCATCCTGCAGGGCAAGGTTGGCAGTGGCCAGTGATGTGAGCAGTGGGGGCGGGGAGAAGGCCATGTCCCCAGTCCTGCTCGGGGCTGTGTCCACCACTGTCGGGCTCTCTGGGGGTCCTTGTGCCCTGGGGCTGTGAGGCAGGAGCAAGGCTGTTTTAGGAAGGCAGTCTTAGGAAGACAGACTGCCCACTGACTCAGAGGCAGTTGTGGGGAGGCAGCCTAGGCCCCTGCTTCCCAGAGTCCCTCACACTAGCAGGAGGAGGGAGGGGGCAGGGCAGCGGGTGGGCACCCCAGGTCCTCCAGCTAAAGGAAGGGCCGTGGCCACAGTGGCAACTGGGCCTGCTGCTGGGAAGGTGAGCACCATTCACCTTCTCAGTTTGGGTTTCTAAATTTAGCTCATGCAGAGCCCAGCCCCATTAACATTCCTGGCTGCCACCAAGCGTCCTCACACGCACCCATGGGCCACGGACCTGGGCCAGGTCCAGGTCCATGGCTGATGTGGGCAGTGGGGGAACAGGGGCTATGCGGGGGTTGGGGCTGCCTCTCCCAGCCCATTCTCCCACTGGGCACTGGCCTACCTCTCCCTGGCTGTACACACACACGCGCGCACACACACACACACACGTGCGCATGCAAATGCTTCCCAACACTCCGTCATGTGCACCAGCACCACAGCCACAACAGTCGATTATTCCATCATCTCTAAAGCAAAGTAAGAGCTGTCACTGCCATGATCCCTGTCACGGCCATGCTCCCTGACGCTCCCGCCAGGGGCAGCCCCTTCCCAGGCACGGGAGCTGCCTATCTAGGGAGATTGGCAGCAAAGCTCCCTCAGGCCACTAGCAGTGCCCTACACCTCAGGGTTGCCTGAGGCTTGGCTCCAGCAATACCGCATGTTCCCCCATCGTCCTAGCCAAGTCCCTTCCCTTCTCTGGCCTCTTTCCTCCTTTCTGAAATGGTGTTGCCATGTGAACCTCAGGAGGAAGACTCCTCATCCCTCCAGGCTCTCATCACAGATATGGGCATTTCTGTTTACTTACTTGAGCTCCTATCTCCTGGCACGTGCTCCCACAGAAGCAAGGCTGTGGGTTTCTGGTACCTAGTGTGGAACCTGGTACTAGGCAATTCTCAGAAATCATCACCTGGCAGTGTCCCTTCTATGGCCCCGCCCACCCTGGAGTCTGGGCCCCCAGCAGCTGCCTCTAAGTCAGAACTTTAAGACTTGAAATACTGAGATGCCGGACACCCTGGGTTCACAAAAGCTGCCACTCACAGCTCCTTCTCCAATCCCTCCCATCACTACCCAGAGGTCCAAATCTCAATTCCCAGTTCCAACTGGGAAGATCCGACGAGGCTGTGCCACAGTGACCTCGGGCCCCCTTCGGCAGGACCCTCAGGCAGGAGCCCCGCCCCACTATTCTGCAGCACACAGGCAGTGTGGGGCAAGAGGGGGGCTGCTGAGGGCATCCCATGCCGCCCCTCACTCTTCTCTTCCTTCTTTCTGGCTTGGCAAGAGAGCTTGCCCCGGCCAGCACCCTCTCATAGGGCTGGTCCACTGCCCCTTTCCTAAGGCCAGGAAAGGCAGGGTCAGCCCTTTCCGAGCCGCCCCCCCACAGACATTCTGGGAGCCTCTGTCTGCCGCTTTTCCTTCCCCAACTACGAGAACCTTCCCCTCTGGCTTCGACTGTTGCTCTGCAGCAGGAGCCAAGGCGCTATGGGGGACAGGAACCAGGCCAGGACTTGATTTGGAGGGCAGGGGGATAACCCAAGTTAACAGGAAATCAGGCAGGGTCCGGGTGACATTAGGCAGCTTCAAAGGAGCCCAACACCACCAGCCCGCTTCTCAGGGAGGGGTGGCCAGGCTGATCCGGAAAAAGCCAGCTGGAGATTAAGGAAGTTATTAATGTTTGGAAATGGGATCTGGGCTGTCAGGGTATCACGTCACTGCTGCTGAGGGGACAAGCAGGCAAGGAGAGCCCAACAACTGTGTGTGTTGGGGGAGGGGACAGCATTTTAAAGTCCCTTCCATGGAGCAAGGAGACAGCCTGATCAAGGAGCTCCCTGGCTTCTGGAACCCCTGAGGCAGAGGGGAGCGGGTGGCAGGGCTTGGATGACTGGGGAGAGTAGCATTCTATCCAGAGCAAGTCAAGAGGGACAGCCTGTGGTCTGGACCCTGGGACGGCTCCTGGCTGGGGATTGAGGGGAGGGGCTGGGACCAGGGAAGAGGCTGCATCTGTATCTCTCAGCTCCCAAAGTCCTTCTGGTGCTGACAGCCCCCATCTGCTGCAAAAGCTGTCGCCTTTGAACTCCTGTCCCCAGGCCCTGCACCTGACTGGAGGTGCATGGGGGTGGGGTAGAGACCAGTTTCAATTGTACCCAGGTCCTGGAAGGCACCTCTCACTGCACGCACACACACACACACACACACACACTGCAGCATATATGCAGAGGAGGTCACGAGGGTGGGGCAGACCCCAGCATTGGCTCACACAGGGATCTGATGAGTTGATGCACATCCCACTGCTGAGGGGTGAACAGACACACAGACACAGAGAGACAGACAGACACACACACACACACTGCACCAATACCCTCAAAGTCAGCATACTCAGCACAGACCCCACACGGAACACACACACAAGGTCGCCAGCAGCGCCTGCTCATGCAGCCAGCCTTCTTCCCTGGCCTTCAAATCCAGACAGACAGCAAGACAGCCTAAGGGGCTCTGCAACAAGATGCTCAGCGCTGCAGCTACGCTCAGCCACTCCCCCAGCCTCCGAGCACACTCACACACAGAGGCACATGGCCCAGCCTCCTCTACCACCTTTCCTGAAATTCTGAGACAGACGCAGACACAGGGGACCCAGGAACAAAGCAGGGCAGCCAGCCCAGTTCCACACACCTGCAGGCAGAGGGGGACCGGGTCATGCACACACTCGCACACATGCACACACACTCACACAGGAAGCAGAGCTGGCCTCCACTACGGCTCCTCCCCAGGGGTCGGAGCTGCCTGAAGTTCAACACCCAGGATGGAGGCGCATGCTCCCAAGCCCTGAGTTTGCCTTTCTTGAAGGAGGCATGCTGGGTTCTGGGACCTCTCCGGTCTTTCCCACGGGTCTCTCACAAGACCCCAAAACCCTTTCCCAGGGGTATCTGCCCCTTTTCTTCCTCCAGAGGAGTGGGGCATGAAGCCTCTACCCACCCAGTGCCCACAGCCACAGCGCTCCCCCCTTGTCCTTAAGGCCCCTCTGTGACTGCGCAGGAAGAGAATGGGGTTCCCAGAGGTGGCGCCCTGCCCCCACTCCCACCATTGGGGGCGCTTGCCAGTGACCCTCTTTCACCTCACCCCGCCAAAGGCGTCGCACCTCGGACACCCTGGACCCACCGTTGCTCCTCTGCCCCCTGCTGCCCCCAAAGCCCCACCACACTTCTGGGCCGGGCGGCAGGAAGGGGGACGGGAGTCGGGGTCTTGCGAAGCAGAAGCCCGGGGAGCTGCGGGCGGGGCGGGGCGGGGCGGGGTGGGGTGGCGCGATGCAGGGCGGGCGGCTCAGCCCCGCTCCCCCTACCGGCGCCCTCGGGGGATGAATGTCCCTCCTGATGGTCTCTTTACTTATTGATGGACTAATCCTGCTCGTTAATTCCCCAGCCCTTGTTAAAAATGAAAAGGAGCCGTTTGTGCTTGTACAAACCCGAGAGCCAGGATGGATGTGCAGGGGGTGGGGCGGGCGGCGCCACCGCATTGGCCTCCGGCTCGGCTACGCCCATTGGGGGAGCGGGCGGAGGGGAGGGGGCGCAGCGCTTAGACTGGGGGCTCGATTCTCAGTCTGCACGTGTGTGCCTGCGGTGCTTTATGCGGAAGGCAGGGCGTGTGTGTGTGTGTGTGTGTGTGTGTGTGTGTGTGTGTGTGTGTAGCTGCTCGCGTGCGAATGCCTGTGAGTCCTAAGTCTGTCCCTGAATGTGTCCCTAAATACATGGCTTTGGGCATATACACAAAAGTATAGGGCCGAGACTGCGGTAAACGCAGGGTGTGTGTGCATGCATGCGTGTGCATGTGGTCTGAATTTCTATGGAAGTGCCCCTGACTATGTGGACAGGTGAGTCACCTGTGTGCACCCTTAGGAAAATTCCCGAGCCTGTAATTGTGGGGGGGCAGTGTGCAGGGCCAGGCACTGCCCTCCAAGGGGCCCTCAGGAGCCTCACCAGTTTGCGCTGACACCAGTGGCAGAGGCCGCAGAGGACGACAGTGACGCTAAGGCTGACGGTGATGATGGCAGAGACCAGCAGGACGTCGCGCGAGGGCGCCCCTGGGGAGGACAGGTACAGGTCAGACCCTCATTGGCCAGGGCTACCCTCCCTCAGCCCAGAGCCCTCCAGAACAACCACCCTACCCTTCCATCTGGCCCCTTCACCGGGAGCTCTGAACCCAGGTTCTACTCCCAGTTCTGCCTTGCTTGATGAACTTGGGTAGTTTCTCTCTGTGTGCCTCAGTTTTCTCATCTGTAAAATGGGGAAACTGTGCCAGTTGGCATCTTTCTCTGTCTCTCCCTGCATGGACCCTGTGTGAGTCCATGGGATCTGTGCCATCCTCCAAACTTGAAACCCTCAAAGGAGGGCCAAATGTGCTCCTCAGCTCAGCCAGACTTCATCTGTCCATCAAATCCCTCCACAGGCCACTGCTCCTGGATGGCCTTTTCACACAGCACTCTTCCAGTCGCTACCCTGACAACACACACACTCTGAGTCGAAACTCCAGTCAAATTTGTCCAAAGGGTCCTTATTAGCTCTGACAGCCCCTTTGAGGGCATCTGCCTCATGGGCACTAGCCGATCGTCTTGTTTCCCAAGATTCACCAGCCATATGTGTAGTCAAAGGAATCTCTGGAACCCTCTGACCAGCTGTTGCCCCCTTTAGCCCAGCTTTCTTTGGTCTGGAAGCCCACCCACTGGCCTCTGCACATCCCTATCCCCCGAGCTCCCACCCCCCCGCAACACCATGGCTGCAGCCCATCTGTAATTCCTAAATGCTCTCATCCCAAGGGCCAAGGGGCCATAAACCTCAGGAGTGGAAACCTTGACACCCTTGCCAAAGATGAGACCTGTCCTGGGAGGAAAATCTCAGGCCTCTGTCCGAATCCCACCCCTTCCCAGGCTGTGTGGCTTCCACCAGTCACAGAAGCACTTAGTTTCTTCCTCTGTAAATGCAGATCAGACCTCCTCCCCCACCCTCCTCACAGGTGATTGTAAACATTAGCCCAAACCAAATGAAAGGAAGGCAAAAGCCTGGAGGAAAAATTCTCATGTGGGACAGTGAGTGGAGACCCGCATAGATCACACATGCGCTATAAATCTGTTGTGTGTGCTAGGATGCGTCCTAAAGCCAAGGAGATGCTGTTTATTTACAGAGGAGCCTGCGTGGGCTTTTTGGTGCCAGTGATCATAGTAATTAAGAGTTGACGATATCTGTCTGGTCCTGGTTCCTGCGGTTTTAGCTTCTGCCTTTCTTCCTCTCCCAGTCTCTCTTACTTGGCCATGCAGCCTGGTGGAGGAGGGCCCAGCAGTCACCCTCAGGGATGACTCTCATCAACTCTCAGGGGCCTCTGGGCTCCCTCCCTCCTCCACTCCAGCACCCTGGGCAGTCCCTTCTCTACCTGCTCTACTAGAACCCTCTTTGGGCCCCACCTCTCCCTTCCTGACTTCCTGAGCCTCCTAGCTGTGGGGAAAGGCCACCCTTGTGAGGCTCCCACCTGTCCACCTGCCAGGCAAATCCAGTCTCCTCCTGTACCAAGTCTACAGCCTCAACCCCCCGGAAGCCCCTGCACCCAGTTCACTTTCAACCTCAGGGCCCAGGGCACCCATAAGCTCTGACCTGGACAACCTGCAGACACCAAGGTCCTGCCCCTCCCTCTCCTGGGCTGAGGAGCACAGCTCTGCAAGCCTGGAGGGGCCACATTTGTCAAAGTTCTCAGGTCAAATAGGAGAACTAGGACTTTGATCTCCAAGCTTCTGAGGGAGAATAGGCGCAGGGCACTCCATCACAGCCCCATGGCCCATGGCCAGGCCTCCAGGGAAGGGATGGGCAAAGGTGCCTTCTGGACATGAGATCTGTTTCCCAGCTCTCCCCATGGAACCCGCCCAGCCCCACTGGAAGGGCTAGGGGAGCTATGTGGGCTAAAAGCAAGTGAGCCCACACTTTCCTTTGTTTAACTCACTTTGAAATAAAGTAAACTCCATTCTTACGCCAAGCTTTCCTCGGCAACTATCTATTAAGAATATATTATGAGTGGGCATGGTGGCTCATGCCTGTAATCCCAGCACTTTGGGAACCAGAGGCAGGCAGATCACTCAAGGTCAGGAATTTGAGGCCAACATGGTGAAACCCCATCTCTACTAAAAATACAAAAAATTAGCTGGGCGTGGTGATGTGTGCCTGTAGTCCCAGCTGCTTAGGAGGCTGAGGCATGAGAATCGCTTAGCTTGAACTCTGCCATGGGGATTGGAGGGGGGCGGAGGTTTTAGTGAGCCCAGATTGCACCACAGCACTCCAGCCTGGGCAACAGAACAAGACTCTGTCTCAAAAAAAAAAAAAAAAAAAAAAATATATATATATATATATATACACACACACACACATACACACACACATAAATTATGAGGGTATGTGTTTGTGGGGGGACAGGCCCTGCCCACAAGGAACTACCACTCCAATGGGGAAGACAAGTTAGAATTGAGTTATCTCGGCTGGGCATGGTAGCTCACGCCTGTGATCCCAGCACTTTGGGAGGCCGAGGCGGGCGGATCACGAGGTCAGGAGATCAAGACCATCCTGGCTAACACGGTGAAACCCCGTATCTACTAAAAATAAAAATTAAAAAAAAAAAATTAGCCAGGCACTGTGGCAGGCGCCTGTAGTCCCAGCTACTCAGGAGGCTGAGGCAGGAGAATGGCGTGAACCCAGGAGGCGGAGTTTGCAGTGAGCTGAGATTGCCCCACTGCACTCCAGCCTGGGCAATAGAGCGAGAGTCTGTCTCAAAAAAAAAAAAAGTTATCTCCTAGCATGCGAGGTGCTCTAGAACCATCAAACGCAGGACACCCAGCCAGCGGGCCCCAGACTCCAAAAGACGTGAGAAAAAGACCCAAGTGTGAGTACCACCTCGCCTCTTTTTGTTGAGACGGAGTTCTGCTCTTTTCACCCAGGCTGGAGTGCAATGGCGTGATCTCAGCTCACTGCAACCTCCACCTCCAGGGTTCAAGCGATTCTCCTGCCTCAGCCTCCCGAATAGCTGGGATAACAGGCACCCGCCACCACGTCTGGCTAATTTTTTGTATTTTTAGTAGATAAGGGATTTCACCACGTTGGCCAGGCTGGTCTTGAACTCCTGACCTCAGGTGATCCACCCGCCTCGGCCTCCGAAAGTACTGGGATTACAGGCATGAGCCACTGCGCCCAGCCACACCTCTACCTCTTAACAGCTGTGTGACTTTGGACAAGTATCTTAACCACTCAGTGTCTCCCACAGGGTTGCTGTTAGCACTCAATGGATGGGTACCATTAGTATGGTTGTTGGTGTTTGTTTTATCTCAGGCATAAACAAAGGGCCCTGAGAGCACAAATGAGGACTTTATCAATCTTGCGGGACAAGTGAGCTATCTGGGAAGGACACCCTGAGGAGGTGGTGTTTGGCGTAGTCTGAAGATGGAAGTGAGGCGAAAGTAGGATAGTCCACGCAGAGGAAAAGGTGTGGAGGTGGGAAAAGTGTTAGGCACATTGTTGAGGAGCCGGACTTAGGGTATGGGGAGTGAATTCAGGGAGACCAGCCTGGAAGGAAAGGAGGGCCTGATGGGGAAGGGGCTCGTCTATCCAGCTGAGGGGCTTGTTTTGTTCTGTAGACCACGGGAGCCATGGTAGGCTTTTGAGCAGGGGAAGGATGGGATCAGAGGGGTGTTTCACAAGCTCATGATCTGGTAGCTACAGTAGGAAGCAGCTGGAGGTCATGGCCACACTCCAGGTAGGCTCCTCTGCTCTGGTGCCCTCTCCACACTTCACCCTCCCCCATATACCTCTTTGCCACAGGGAATTCTCTAAGGGGTCACCTTCCTGGAGCTCCCTCCTTTTTTTGTCAAACAGGATCCTTCTCAAAAACTAATCCTCAATCCTCAACCTGCAGGTCAGAGAGTCCCTAGGGACAGAAGCCTATCAATCCCAGAGTCCAGTGGGCACACTCTGAAAGGCCCCCAGAAACCCAAAAGAACACCCATCTTAAGCAATTAGCATTCTGTGGGCATGGCAGAATGAGCCCTAGGCTTGGGGTCTAGGAGAACTAGGCTGAGACCCTAGTCCAGCTGCTAACCGGCCGTGTGGCAGGCAAGACACTCAACTCTTGGATATCAGTGCTTTCATCTGGGGAAGAGCTGACCCTGACCCTTCCCCCTCAGAGGACAAGCCAGGTATTCCAGGTGCTCCACATGCAGTCACAGCGACAACAGAGATAAGCATTATGAGTCATCCCCATTTTACAGAGGTGAAACTGAGGAACAGAGAGGTCAAATACCATGTCCAAGTTCAAAGCCAGGGTTTGAACTGAGGCAGTCCGACTCGGATTCTATACTCGTTGCTTTGACATCACACCAACTACAGAGGTACATAGTTAGTTTTCAAGGTGCACTCTTTGGAACCCCTAGGGTTGCCTGGAGTCTCTCTGGGGCTCTGGGGAGTGGAGGCTGAGCCGATAAGGCTGTGATCCCTCAAGCCCTCTTCAGTCACAGTAGCACTGTTTCCTTCTGTGCTCTTGAGTTTTTGCAGAAAATTCCATTTGGAGAAGGGGTTGTGTTGCTAAGGAAAGTTGAACTCCTCTGGATGAGTGACCCCAGGGTCCCCTATAGTGTGGGTGGCTGCTGTCATCTTCCAGGCAGCTGGTGCAGCCCCCACAGATTCCCCAGACCCTTCAGCCTCCCTCGGACAGCCCTCAAAGGCAGGGTGAAACAAACACTTGCCACTGCAAATTGCACTGATGTTGTGAATAAAAGTGACTTGATGTCCTCGGCCAGCATGCTGATATCCTAAGGAGATCCTAAGGAGATCCTAAGGGAGATGTCGCCATCAAGGGGTACAAGCGTGTTCTTGCCTACCAGCCAGAGTGAACCATTTCCTGCGTATGGAGTCACTGTGTCTCCAGCTGGAAGGAACCTTGAAAGTCATGAAGTCAGGCCCCAGGGATGCACAAAGCCCATGGGCAGCCCTGTTGGTGACAGGGAGCTTCCGCAGGGAGCAGAAGGCAGGAAGCAGGTCCTTCCTGGATGGGCACTGT